CGCATAAAGCGCATAAAACAGACTGACGCGTGAAACGTAATTCTTACCAAACGCAAAACACTTTCGTCAAATTTACCCTCATATGAGCAAAGTAAATAAGCCATAATTCCCGCGACAAAATTCCATCTGCGACTCTCTCTCTCTCTCTCTCTCTCTCTCTCTCTCTCTCTCTCTCTCTCTCGCGAGAAAGCGCACGGAAAATCCTGGGTTTATAGGGATCGCTGTGCTATTGCAGATTACGTCGATTATGCCGAATCACTATTAATTATTGCCGCGGGTCATAAAAGAATGCGCGAGCACGCGTGTGCGTGCGCGGCGATAAATTTGCGCGCGCGTGCGATAAATTTGCGACGCGTAAGAGGGTGAGTTTTTTAATATTTTAATAAAAATAATAAATCAGCGCCAAATTCACTGCGTTTTCAGACAAATGACAATACGTCGTCTCCGATGGATATTCATATTTCTAAGAACGGTTGGACGAATAGATTCGACTAGAGCCAATAATAAGCACGTATAACTGATCGATAAGCATCAGCAATTTAAAATTTATATGTCTGTGTATATAATTTGGAAACCCAGTTTTTGCAAATTATACAAAATTGATATTAGAGATTATAATTGTTTTTTTTATATACACTCAGAAAAATATCCGAAATATCCGATTGTTAATTTCGTTATCCGATCAAACATCCGGTGTATTTAATCGGGTATTTGATCGGATAACAAAATTAACAATCGGATATTTCTGACATTTTTCTCCGTGTACGTATTATTTTTACATAATACATATTTCTTGCGTCTATAATATAGCACGTACTTCGACTGAAATTCTGAAGAATCGAAAAGGTGTTTTAAAATCTACGTTCGAATACAGAGGCATTATTTTTTCATACAAAGTTATCAGTTTTTACGCGTATACGTATTAATTGATAATAAATCTATATCACTGTCACTGTGTCGTTAATTGTTAAAAACGAAGCGTATCGGGAGAAATATCAAAAGAAGATTCATCTTTATACATTTTTTCAAATTAAATTGTAATTTAGTAGCGCCCCCACGTCACAATAATCATACACAACTGTTAACATTTTTAGGTTAGGAAATTATCCCCATCGTGTTCGATCAGAAATACTCATCGGTCCATTGACGAAAGTAAATCGACGAATCTGATGGATACATAATGAGTTCAGCGTTGTAAATGAGAATGTATTGATGTAATTTGATGAATAAAAAAACGCTTCGTTGCATTTGCGCTTTATGCGACGGATCAATCGACGAGTTAAAAAACTCACCCAAGTTGCAAGCACAATTTCATCCCGGATTCCGCGGTGGATCGAGCAGAGCCCGAGGTGCGGGATCGCACATCTTCGCCGTGAGCAACGTTCAGCTTCAAGAATCAAATACCAGCCCAAGCTAACTTCTCTAGTTATATTTACAGCGAAATATATGCGAGAATTGATCTGTTCTGTCATCATGTTGTCGCTACTGACAGTGTGAAAAATAAAGCCTGTAAGATTCAGTCAGCCGCGTTTTTTATCACGATCAAAAATTCGCAGGGGTGAAACTTCGCCCATGGGAGACCCTTTGAGGGCCTTAAGAAAGCCAAAGAACGTGGCTCAGGCCGGCGGTGCGATCTTGGTGCGATCAAAGATCAACGGCCGTTTGCACACAGTAGTGGAAACAGGCTCGCTCCCGGCAGGCACAGCGGCGGCGGCAGCGGCAGTGGATGACGGCGTGTCGAGTCAGACACGTCGCTAGTCCGCGTTCGGCGGAACGAGATACGCGGTAGTTAAATAGCTTGCTAACCGCTTCGCGTGATAACGGACGGACGATTAAACGCGGAAAGAGTTTAATTGCAAACATATACCCGCGCGCCCGGCGATAGATATATTTCACAAACACGGCCGTCGTCGGCCTCTTGCGCTTCGCTCGGTACACTTTTCAAATACTTCATGCACGAATGGCAAGGGGCGCGATGCGATATCTACGCGCGATCGGTCCAAGGAACGGCGTAATTGCACCTGTCGCACCGCGAGAAGGAACTTGTAATCGGGCTGCGCTGAATTTCGATCGACGTTGCTGCGGCTTGAACAACGGCGAACATCGCCAGGCAGGATCGCCAGGAAATATTCGCGGGTACAGGACATCGCGTGCGAAATCGATATGCAATGGCCCCCCATGCATGTCGAAAGACCGACCGATGTGTTGAGGACAACGTAGCATCGATATATCGAGCGCGCCGACCTGCAACCCTCCTCGTCGATGTGGGAATCCTTCCTCCCCTCCCTCGCGGGAAATCTTCTTATCCACGGCACGTACGCGCGCATTAAGCAGCCCGAATTAGCGTATCGCTGCCGTAGTACGCTAGTCAACCCCTTAACCGTCCCCCCCTCCCCGCACCCGCCATATCGAGCATCTCGAAGGAGAAGACGAAGAGGAGGCCCGCTGCCTTCGACGTCGCGCGCCAAACGCGCGAGCGAGAGTGACAAAGCGTGTAACACATACCTGGTCGGGCCGATCCAAGGTCAGGTCACTAGGCCGGTGCTGGCTGATCCTCGTCCCTTCGTGCTCCCGATGACGACGTACGGACGACTGCTGTGAGCGCAGTGACAGGAGCGAGACGATGAAACTGGCCACCGATGACGACGATGACGACGACGACGACGACGCTATTACGCGCTCATCCAGCACGGGCTGCTGGAGGGATGAGAGAGAGAGCGCGAGAGACCGACGCACGGGGGATGAACGCGGAGCGACGGCCGAGGCTCTCGTGTCAGCCTTGCTCGCTCGATCGCTCGCCGGGCTGAAGAGCGATCGGAGCGGAGTTGGCGCGCGGCCGACGTCCGCCAGACAGCTTGACGGAGCGAGGTGTGGCGAGGCGATGCTGCTCACACTACTCGCACGATCCCGAGGCGTACCCGTTGTTGCCGTTCGCGTCGATCGTCGTCCTGGTGTTTCGGAGCACCGAGCACTCGCGACGAGCGCGACCCGACCTAACCTCCCTAGGCTTCGCCGAACGACTGGCGGGCTGTAGCGAACTCGCGCTCGCTCCGGCGCACCGTGCACTCCGGCTACCCCCACCATCCGGCCGCCTGAGGCAGCTCGCGACACCTGACGGCGCCTGGGCGCGGCTGCGCCGTGGCCGACCGAGCCGAACCGTCGGTGGCGCGGATTTTCAAACTGCCCGCATGAGCGCTGGATACGTGAGAAACTTTTCACGTTTCCGTCTGTGAGAAGAAGCTACACGTCTGCCGCTTCGCACGCATAGCGAACATTGACAACATTGTTTGAATGTTGCTCAAGCAAGCGTCAAATGGTATAATGTGCTGTTTCAGCTCGAGAATCGAGAAGGCATATTTACTTTAGGACGTGTTTAAACGAACAATTTCGTAACTTTCTCGTAAAAACGGTAATACGAGAGAACGCGGAGAACTCTGCTCGCGGATTCGACGACGATCGCCACGTGACTTACGTGAAGCAAGTGGAAACACAGAGTTTCAACTTTCACTTTTCACGTTTCCACGGCGAAGTTGCATCATGACGATGCAGAATAGGGCCCGCGGTACGTTACATCGCGGGGCGTTATCTTCGCTCCGTGTTGGCTGAAAACGCTTGCATCATCGCGAAGCAACCTGCCGCGAGTTTCTGGACGTCGCGTGCGCGACGATCAGAGGGAACCATTAGGGTTTTCGAGTAAATTTATTCGCTCTTCGCAGTGTCGTTTCACGTGACATTGGTCAGCCAATTACAAAACTGTCGAGTGAAAATGTAAGGTAACTGGGCATTTTCGGTACGGTGATCTCACATTTTCACGAAGGCTGTGTTCACGTTGTTGGATGTTTTTGTTTAGAACAGACACACAGCAGATTCGCCGATAGCGCCAATAACGGTTTAAGATTGCAACAAGTTCGCTAACAAAGAGAAATTACGCGTTGTCTAAGAAATACAAACGTTGTTGACAAACGTTTGTTGCGGTGATTAATACTTTCAGTTGGTTATCAAAGAAAGAGAATAAAAATAAATAAAATGAACATTACGGAGAAATGGAAAAGAATATTGTTAAATTATTTTTAACATCAATATTAATATCAATATTAATTATTACCATTAATTATTATGATTACTAAAACAAATTATCCATTTGTGGAAACAGTTTCTCTTTGTTCTTTTGTCTGTTCTTTTCAGCTGCACCGCTGCATTGGTGTAACAAGTCAGAGTGAGACAAGTACATTTTCGTATGAGATTTCGCGTCGGGTCTACTAACTTCGTATTTTCACGAGATGAAGTCAACTGCAATTGGGTGATAGTTGCTCGCTTCTGCCATTTTCACCCAATCCGAGAATCGTAACAGAGACTCCGAGAGGTAACCGGTTTCCCTCGCGTCGGCAGAACAACGAGCGTGAACGCGAATCGAGCGCGATTCGAAAGGCCGGGATCCGGGACGGGACGCACTGGGTCAGGTGCACTGACTACGGGCACTTCCGAAGAGGGGAATGCGCGTTCGTCTATTCGCCGCCGTTCGCGGCTTACATGCGCACGTCGTTTTAGGTTTGGCGCGAAAGCGCGCGCCGCGCATGCGCACGCGCCCTCGTGTCCGCTCGACGGGCCAGCTGGCGCCAGCGGCGCGCTGGCAAACAGAAAGCCAAACCGGTCATGAGAGGCTAGTTGTACGGCTGCACCCCGCGCTTGTGAATTGTCTGTTTTGTGGCGGAATATTGCGATATTACGCGGACGCCGCGCGAGCGACACGAGACGGGCAGCCGGTACCTCGAAAGATGGGAGCCTACTTGTCGGAGCCGATCACCAAGAAGATATCGAGCGACGAGGTGGGAAAGAACGTCGCGTACGGCGCGAGTTCCATGCAGGGCTGGCGTATCAGTCAGGAGGTAAGCGGGAAGTCGTGTCGTGTCATGTCGCGGCGGCGGCGGCGGCAGCGGCAGCGGCGGTGGCGGTGGCGGCGGCGGCGGCGGCGGTGGCGGTGGAACGGCGGCGGTGGTGGCGGAGGTGGCGGTGGCGGCGTCCGCGCGCGCGCTTTTACTGTATCATCGTCTCCAGCTTCGACGAGCTCTCGCCGAGTCGCGAACCCGCGCGATTCGCCGGCTACGTGAGCAGCGCAGCGCCCGGACGGAACACACCCCTCGCTGACGCGCCCGGAGCGCCGAGCTCGGGCGGCCGGCCGACGACGCCCGTGAATTCCGGCGCAGAGCACGCGACGACGCTCGCCACTCGCCGCTCGCCGGCCGATGTGCTTCTTAACGAATGTTTACTCACGAGCGAATGAAATTTCCGTCGAGTGGGCCGCGCGACGCGCCGGCCGATATTATGGCGCAATTGCTTTATCGCGGCTATCATTCCGGTCAGTAACGTTTCTATGGCGTGTGCATGATATATGTGTGTGTGTTGTGTGTGTGTGTGTGTGTGCGGTGCGTAGTGCGCACGCGTGTGCGTGTATGCGCGCCATACATATATCATGTATACTTGGATGCAGTTACATGCATACATGTAATCTTGTCTCTATAGTTTGTTATACCTTGTCTATATATATGTATGTAATATAGTATCAATATTTATTCTGTTGCTGAGAGACAAGCTGTACCGTACATGGTAATTGCAGTACAGTTGGTTGATTAAAAGTTGCGACACCTTTTTTCCATGAGTCCCCTTAATGCTTTCTGTACCCAATAGAGAGAGGAATTTCCTGAAAATTATTAAAATATCAATTATCCTATTATCCTATGAATAATGGATACATGGGTGAAAAGTAAAAGAAGCTATTGCATCATTTTTCATCAGTCAATTGTAGTGTTTCTTGAAACTGTTGAATCTGTTGTTACCGCAATGAAACAAATTTAATCATTCGTGAGCAGAATGATTGAATCTCACAGTGAAGAAATTTTCTTAATTTAAGGGCTGCGAATTGGATAGCCTAGTCGATGTAAACAGACTCGTAATGATTGTTGTTTATTTGTAGGATGCACACAACTGCTGCATAAATTTCGACGAGAATGCTTCGTTATTCGCCGTGTACGACGGCCACGGAGGACACGAGGTGGCGACATACTGCGCGCGTAATCTACCAGAATTTATCAAGCAGACTGAAGCCTACAAACGAGGTGACATTGCGCAAGCTTTAATCGATGCCTTCTTGGGTTTCGACGCCACCCTCACGAAACCAGAAGTGGTGAATATGCTCAAAGAACTCGCAGGAACTGGGTCAGAGAAAAATGAGGGTGACTCGAACGAATCTGGTGCGTTTTTCTCAATATTAGAGATATGCATTGTTACTGGTTATACCCTATTAAAGATGGCTTGGCTGATCGCGCAGTCAGCAAGCTCTGCTTTGTTTTCGCCACTTAATTTTGCATGTAAATTCCTAATAAACCTGTCTTCGTACATTACGTTGCGTGCAGATGAGGAAGAGAATGTTAGTAATCTGTGTATGGAAGCGACGATGCCGTTGGAGCAAGTAATGGCAAAGTATCACCAGTCAGAGCTATCGAATTCTCACGTGAAAAGTCTCAAGGGTGAGAAATGCGGTAAACGCACGTGTATCGCGAGTCCTTACCTGCGTGGGCGAAGAGGGCGCGAGAAAGCAGGCTGCTCATCATCCGGTGCGGGCTGTTCGTCTTCACCGTCGTCCCTGTTACCTCCACCGCCACCGCCGCCGTCGTCGCTATCGCAGTCATCATCGTCGTCCGCGGCGAACGTGGTTACTACTCCGTGGAACACCAATGAGACCGATGTGAGTAGTTCCAGTCAGCCGTGTGGCTCGAGTTTGTCCAGCACGGTGGAGCGGAAGGAGACCGCCGACTGCCCGGCGAGCAACGAAGCCGAGCAAGTGCTGGACTCGACGACGAGCAACGGCAACTCCCATGCGTCCGCACCAGTGGGTTCTACCGCGGACGTGGAACCCGCCAAGTCTATGGATATGCCCGACAGCTCGGAGGACGTGAAAGAGGAGGTGTCGAGTCTTAGCAAGGCGCCATGCGCAGCAGAGCCTAAGGCGAACGACGCGGACGTGAACGGCGAGGAGAACAAGAGGATCGGCGACGCAGACAGTAGTAAAGGCGGCGGCGACAATGTGTCGAGCAGTTCCTGCACTCCCGTGGAGAACGGAGATGCCGGCCAGCAGGAGCGGATAACCAGCAGCGGACGGAGAAGAATCCAGCCCATGGATCTCTACCAGAGTCTACTGAAGAAAGACAACGATGATTCCGAGGAAGACGACGACGACGATGAGAACGACGAGACGTTTGACGGTGTGCCTGAAAGGTAAGGTGCAGGGCGACTCGCCCGCGCAATCAATATCCGTGACGTTTCAACCGAGAGATTTCCCTTGACATTGCTTTGCAGCGACGACACTGAGGATGTCGACGAGGAGGATGAGAGCGATGATGATGACGACGACGAGATCGAGGGAGAGGACATGGATGAGGACTCCGAAGACGAGGCCGACCATTTCATAGTGAACACAGAGAAGGTACCTCGATATCGAGCTCCTAGCTTTGCGAGACTTGTCCTTTGCTTTCCAGGATATCAGATTTGATTCTAACTCGTAAGATATACACTCATTTCTCTTTATACAATGTCTCTTGCACAGCCCGGTGCTGACAGCGGCTGCACGGCGGTGGTAGCGATACTCAAAGGGAATGAACTGTACGTCGCCAACGCTGGGGACTCCCGCTGCGTTTTATGCAGGGACGGTCAGGCTGTTGAACTCAGTCTGGACCATAAACCCGAAGACGAGCCGGAAATGGAGCGTATAGTAAGGGCAGGCGGGGAGGTAACGACCGACGGCAGAGTGAACGGCGGCCTCAATCTCTCCAGAGCTCTCGGCGACCATGCGTACAAGCAGAACATAGTGCTACCGCCCCAGGAACAGATGATTTCCGCTCTGCCGGACGTGAGGCACGTGACGATCGAGCCCGAGAGGGACGAGTTTATGGTGCTCGCATGCGACGGCATCTGGAACTTCATGTCCAGTCAAAACGTCGTGCAATTCGTACGCTCTCGTCTGTCGCAGAATTACGAGAACCTTTCCAAGATCTGCGAAGAGGTGCGTGATTACGTCCCATTCCAAATATCTGAAAATTTACAAACTATTTTGAAAATTACGCTTTCGCGGCTTTCGCTCTGCCGACACGAAGCTCTCCGCTGTGCGTAATAAAATATTACCCCGATCTTCGTCGCTACGTTTTCTCGCGTATCAAGGCGATTCTTTCCACACTAATGAGAACAATTCAACGTTTGTCACAGCTGTTTGACCATTGCCTCGCACCGGACACGCTCGGCGACGGGACGGGCTGCGACAACATGACCGCCGTGATAGTTAAATTCAAATTGCCAGCGTCCGAGAGCGCCAAGAACGAGACAGTCGCCGGAGTATGCGTCGCGAGGAAGCGATCGATCTCGCCGAGCCTCCCCGCCGGGGAGAACGACGAGTGTGCCGCGGAGGAGAGCGTGCTGAATCCCTGCAAGCGTCCCAAGACCGAAGCAGCTATGTGAAGCAAGAGTCACGCGTGAGTTGATTTGAGCCGGACGACTAAAGCGGATGGATGAATGTGAGTTTATGTAAAATCACTCGCAACCGTGTTACTCGGCGCGAATCTTGAACGGACACACGACGGCGCTTACACAGTAATGGGTGTGTGTGGAATAATGCTAATGTAAGGTTGTTAGTGCTGACCGTTGATGGCAGACTGATCGATTGGAGCACGTGGGGATGATATGAGGCCCACTTCCTCGCAACGGACGCGTTACACCACTTTTTTTTTATTATAACTACTAAACGACATATTGTGAATGTGTGTGAGAGAGAGACACGTTGCATGTACAGAGAGTTTCGTTTCTTTCCTCTCCAAGTCCACGCGCGTATCTCCACTATCGCGCCGACACGATGTGCGAGAAGAAGATTTTAATTGTTCTCTAGAGAAACGTTCAACGTTCACGGTCTAATACACTTATTGTGCGCAAACGTAAAATCACAGCAACAATACTCCCGATCCCGATGAGAGCGGATTGCAAACTGGATATTATTTGATGTTGTCCGTTGTTTTATTTTGTACTCTCCATCACTTCGGAAGCATTTACGCGCGTACACTTACCGAGGATCCACATGCGATAAATAATACGTATTGTTTAATATAAATGTGTACATTTTTTCTTCTAGGACTTGATGCGTTGTTGTAAAACCGTAGTTTCTACCTTCACTTTTACTTTCGTGCATCATACATTCATCCATCGATTGAAACGAATTTTATACCAATGACTCAATGATACCGATGAACTTACGCAAGCAATAATATTAATAGACGTTTACACCATTTGCCTTTTTCCTCATCTGAATTTGATTTTCATTACCGATTGCCGATTGCGACCGACTCGTGTCCTTTGCTGCTGTTCTTTCGATTTTGTAAATTTATCATATATTACGAATTTTCAGAACGATATTTTCATATTACGAAATATTACACCTATAAATTGCGACGACTAAACGGGGATAAAACTCAAATAATGACAGAACAAGGATAATATGATTTTTATTTCAATGGAACCGTTTCTCCCTGTGAATAAATGTCTCCTGTAATTCATAACCATTTCAACGCAGTAACTGCAGTTATGCTCGTATCGTTGTGTCATTCGTTCCATAAGCATAATTATCTGCGTGACAAAGTCATTATACGCTGATCGGTTGAATTTCAATTCAATAATAATCAGATCAACTACACACTTTTCATGTATCATCCCATTTGCTCCAGCTACTACACTTACAAAGAGTATATTCCTTGAGTTTTTAGATTACATACATAGTATATAAATGTACATATATTTATAAATGTAGACTATAGGATTTATATTTGTAACTCAATACAACATTATCTCTTATTTTTACGAAATAGAATTTATTTTTGAATCCCTGGGTATATAGTGGTCGAGTGGATGGGTGTGCGACTAGTTTTAAGATGTTCAAAACTATATTGTGTAATAAGAAGGCAACTGTGCGTACATGACGCGTTACCAATTTGTGATGTTATATTACTGACGACGGTGAAACAAACAAACAAGCAAGGAAGGAAGGAAGGAAGGAAGGGAGAAACGCGAGGAAGGATACGCACCCTCAAGTGTCAAGCTACATCGAACGCTACCTATTTCGGAACGATCTTGTTCGGAACGAATTTGTTCGGAAATTTGCGTATATGTCGGACATATGTTTTTGTAAATTTATACATACTTGTATAGACACACATACATGATACACACCACACATTCGTTTTCTCTCTTTCTCTCTCTCTCTCTCTCTCTCTATATATATATATATATATATCTATCTCTATCTTTTCATAGCTCTTTGGTGAAACGGCAAAGGTACTTCGTACTGCGCGAAGAAATTTTCGCATAAACTCAAGATATTATCATGATACTTATGGTACTTGGATATAAGCGGAATACTTGCGATATTGTAAAGAGTCGCGGAATTCGCGGTACGATTTCAAACGAACGCGAAATACGCGTCGCGACGTTACGAGAGGAATGTAAGATGTACAGGTAGAGCGAACGAGCGTAAAGTGTTGGCAGAGCATATTGTACCTGGAAGTAAGCACCGTTTACGCGGCTGGTGGAGAAAGAACGAGATTTGTTAAGCGCGGCCTCTCCTTGCGGTAATTGAATAAAAGATGTACTCGCTCTCGGAGACTCGCTTGCTTGTCCCTCTGTGTGGCACAATATGCTCCTTTGTACCCGCCCAACATAAATAGGAGCAAACTGGGAAAGCGCGTGTTGAGAATCAAGAAGATCTCTGTGAAACTTTGACTGAATTCATCGAGCGATCGACGTCGCTAGGAAGGCGCGACTGACGCGCTGCTCCGCAAATACTCGCCTCGTGGCTCGAAAGCGCAGTTTTTCGAAACGTAAATACGCGACGAACAAAGAGGCACAGACGGGGAAACTGCGTTTTCCAGGCATCTTGCATATCCGGATTATCATCGAGAAGCTACGAACGAGAGATCGATTCGGAAAACTGAAGGACGGCAAACCGCGACCCAGTTTGATCCGCCGTGACATCTTTGTGATATCTGAGACTTTCCGCAATGTAATGTTGTAGCTCGTCGATGCTCGCGTGTAGTCGCTCGCAGCTGTTGTTAGGCAGTAACTTTGACAGTAAGAAACGACCTCTCTAGTTGAACTACGCATACGCGCAATCACGACACTTGTATGTAAATACCGTTCTCGCAAGGTGATCAGTAGCGTTTATCGATACTAGCGTGGTGTATCTAGTATCACTCGGAATGAACTGATGTGCCTTTCCAATTCAGGGGTTGACAACCTCCGCAACACGTGTATGTACATTCGACTCCGTCTCAAGAAGAAAGGTTTGCGCCCAAAACACTGTCTCTAGCTGCAAACTCTCCGTCATACACTTATGTATTATAATATAATATCTTGTTTCATAATAATACATGTCGCTCTCGAATCACAGTCTCGATGCTCGCAGTCTCATTCTCTCTCTCGCTCTTTCTTTTGTCTCGTTCTCTTTTTCTTCGCCGCTCAATTCTCTCCTCTCCTCCCGGGATCGCAAAGGTGGGGGAACTCATAAGCTGTTCGTTTTACTCAACATGGATATATATTCGATTCAATATATATAATATATACATGTAACGCGTGTGTGTATGTACATATTATATATACATAATTCTACAAACTCTGTCCCAAACGGGACGCTCTAGTATATACTTCAAATTTGGCCAATTTTCAAAACATATTAATTAAAAAAAAAAATATTTATTTATTACTAGAAAGATTATGCTACATGTAATCGCAGAAAACCTAAATTGTCCTGCTTCATCAATATTCGCTTGCACAAATATGTGTGATTAAGATACATCGTTCTTATAAACTTGACTATCGGTATACAAACGAATAGACATACAAATGAAAGGACATTCTACAATGTAACAGTCGTAGATATGTAATAACGCGATACACATGGTCCCTTTGTAGAATTACGAGTCGTAAATTCAACGATGAAAATATATCAGTGTAGCCAGAGCAAGTTCAAGTCTGTGGTCGCTGCTGGGCACTCCATCATCGCTTATACGACGAGTTCGTACGATTGAACGAATTTATCCCCATTATATTCTATTATAAAATAAAAAGGGCACCGCATGACATCTTTATTATATGCGTGACATCTTTATTATCGTGATTGCGATCAATGGATCGGGTCGATTCGCGTGACTGATCCTACGAAAGCGCTCCGAGTTTTGATTGCCATTCCGATTTCATTGCACAAGTGAAAGTGAAAGTCGTTAAGAGGAAAATAATCGTCATCATAAGATATGCGGGAATCACGCGACAAAGCGGTGAAAACATTATACTCTAAGTGACTTAATATTAGTAGAAAACGTTCAAAATAAGCTCGCTTGTTTGACAGCAGGTGTATCATTTATACCTAGTAAACTCGTTCAACTCAAAAATCTTTCGTAACGTACGTTTCGGTATATTTACAATTCGATTCTCGAAACAACAAAGCCGCGCGTTTAAACAGTATCCCTCGAAATTATATATCGCTAATTGTTAACCGATCTTGAGTCCGTTATTTTATATTGGCAGTATTCACTCCACATCATCCTTTAAGCAGCTCGATACAAATCTGGAGACGTCAGGAAACGCAAGCGAGTAACATGTACCTTAATGATTTATTGAAATATCAAATTTATACAAATTTGTAAGAAAAGGTATTGTGTGTGAATGAACGCGATGAATTTATCGTAACGATAGTTGTAAGAATAATAATCAATGATAACTAATAAACATGAGGACAGTAATAATTAGTAGTAATAATAATAATAATAATAATAATAATAATAAAAGTAATGACGGTGACGACGATGACGATAATGAAAGTGATAATACATATATTTATATATTAAAATAATAAAATAATAATACTTATAATATAATAATACTTATATACAACACAGGTAACAACACAGTCCTAGTTTTGCACAAAAACCTTTTCATAACAATTTGATTAATCTAAACGACTGCTTAAAAGTTGTTATAGAGCGTAAATTCATAAATAATTTCGTCAGTCACGCAGAATGGCAACATATATGTGTATGCGGACCTATTCCTGTTTCGGATGTGATAACGATTTGGCACACGAACAGCAAGCGCGTGTGACACGCTACGCTCTCTTCATGATTCATGAGTTGAAATCAAGATACCATTCTCTTATCTGCACGTTTATAAACACACTCGTATAGGAAGAATAGCAAAGAGGAAATTCAAAGAGACACACGAATTTGTCGTTACGTCTTGCTTCTGTTATTTAGAGAGGGGATTCGCGCGGTACTTTCTAAAACAATTGGAGCAGGATAATCGTGTATGAAAACATGTGTTTCTGCTTGTGTGTATGTGTGGGTATCTTTGTGATGTAAGAGATAGCGTATCGTTTTCGATCAAAGCTGACGCTTTTCTCGTGTTTACCTGCGTGACTAAAGGAGAAGATTCAGTCGAAACACGCGAACACCTAGTGTCACATAGCGTCGTTTGGGCCTCGTGAGAGTTTGGAGTTGTGTCTTACTTTATATTGACGCGGATCTTAAAAGAGCGAACGACGCTAAGGAGCACGGGATGTGACGGATTGAGGAAGACAAGATTGGGTCAGTTGGTGTTCTGTTTGTTGGAGCGGAGGCGGGCCAAGCCTGAACGCTCCCCCTCTTCTTCGTCGGATGTGCACGGCAGCGCGCTGCCGACCGCACCGCGCGACGACGTCGCTTGCATAAGCTCTTGATCCGGGCCGTTCCGGTGCTCGTACAGCAGAATGTTTAACGTTTCCTCGTATATCCGAGCTTCGGGGAATTCGACCTGGAAATAGCATCATTCGCGTTGTAATCATCAAGACCATCGAAGGCTAAATGCGTCAACGCGCGCGTCACGTTATATAGCACCTTTGTGTGCTTCTTATCGGTTGTGTAAACGATCGAGTGACAGCAAACTTCGGCCACTTTACGACCGTGTCCGTAGAAGGTCCAACAGCAAATCTCGCTGGAGCCAATGACGTCCTTGATGAATAACACTCTACCGCTGAATCTAAGCGACATCTTGTCGAATAACTCTATGTTCTTTAAGAGATTGTCGTCGGACGTGCTGCAAATAGTACGTTTATGTTGGTGCAATTCCCTTAATAAGTTTATTTGCGCTGTTTGATTGTTATTACGCAGGACCTACATTCACCGTTGCAACAAATTTCAGACCATATGTGCTTAACCGCTTTTCATTGGAAAATTATCATATAGCCTCAATATTTTTCTTTTAACACTCTTAGAACTCAACAGTAATAACACTATGAGACGATATGAAAGATATTCTATGTGACGCTACGTACTATAAAACAGCATTTAATATCACCTCGTGTAAGAATATTTATTGTTATGCCTGTTAATGAGCAGCTTAACCACAGGCTTGGTAGTATTGCTTATGAGCAACTGCTCCTCCTTCTGGGAGGTGATGAGAGGAACCCTGCAGATGGGCTCCGCTTCGCGCTCCTTTCGTAGGAGCGCCTGTTCACAGGACTCAGCCAGCTCGCTGATGCAATAGTACTTGGCCTCGGCGAGCAGCTCTGCCATTTCTTTCGTGCTCTCTGGAAGAGGTACTGAACCGTCTCGTAAAAAATTCAAAATCGTCCCGAAGTGCTTGCCGCAGCGGTCGATCAATATCCAGCCTGTGAACGAGGAGATGCGATAAGCGAAGAACTCGAGATAAATAAAGATATCAAATCGTACACCGAGATAAAAAAGACCTATTCCTTTCAGCTGAATCAGTGCTGCACTGGAACTTGGTTGCTTTTCCCTTCAACGCCAGGTTTATATACTTGTTTCATTCTAAAGGCAAAAAGTGCAACCTAGGTCAGCCAAAAAGAGAGCAGACCCAGAGAGAATCGTGATCGTCTTTTCGAGCGACCGCTCGAGAAAACGCTACAAGACCGATCTTTTAGGTTAACCTTCCAACAATCTCGGATACTCGGAGATACTCGATTCCGCTGAATCGCGCGACTCGTCTTACCTTCGCACCGCGACAGGTCTTACCTTCGGAATCGGTTAGCACTTCCATGCGCCCGCTGAACATAGCACGCAGCATCGTGTCATGTTTCTGCAAGGTGCCTATGGTGGTGTAGTGAAGCGAGCCACCGATGTTCAGTTTTACGTATTCCGAGGGATATTTGATTACCGACTTGTGGTCACCCGACATTACGGATCCTGGCGACCGGGACAGTCGCCGTAGCGAGTGCGAGCGGTGGCTGTGCCGAGGAGGGTCGTATATCGATCTCGCTGATCAATTAGGTGCAGCGTGTAACCAACAGGCAGCAACCCGCGAAGACGTTCGTACGCTCGCGACAAACTCGTGACGTGACGACGTACGATTACGAGGCTCCTGCGTGTCGCATCGATAAGCTGCTCCCTCACGTTCGCTCACATCGGCCGAAGGGACAGGACGCGCGTTCTAACATACTCCCATTTCGCTCCATTTCCCACATCCGCCGCTGATCACAATCTACCTCGAGTGCAGCGAACGCAACGAACTAACGGCGAATACGCCGAATGACAGCCACGGCGGATCGACACGCCGTGGGGTGTACGAAGATATCGAGAGTGTAGTCGCGAGGTGCAGCGATTCGATCGCCCTCGCTTGTCCAACGTGGGCTGCGTTCCGAAATTCCCTGCTAAGGCCTCGAAAGTTATTCTCGAAAGTTTGTGAAAAATATCGTATGCGATTGATTTCATCAATGAGACAATTTAATTGACTGAGAATCGTGATATCTAGTAACATTCATGAAATATCGCGATATTTTTCAAGAATATCGATTCTCGAAAAATGTAACATACCTATATTTCATGAATGTCACTAGATATAACGATTCTCAGTCAATTAAATAGTCCCATTGATGAAATATCGTGTACGATATTTTTCGCAAATTTTCAAGAATACGTGTCCAGTATTGAAAATATATAGTTTGTGTCACGTATACTATAGAATTTCAGTGCTGGCAGTGAATATCGAAACCTTGCAGCCTTGGAGAGTCCTTCCACTCAGAATATGGTGACTTTTGAGTTTTTTCACACTACAGCGTTGTCTCGTGCGGATTGGTCCTCCGGAGCGGACTGGGACTTAACGCGGGCCAATCAGCAAGCGAACCGATTAATCAAATTTTGAAATTTCCGGCCGCTGACTGGATTATTGCTAATTACCGACTGGATTGATTTTACAAGATAAAAGTAATCAGTGTCACAAAATCGAGACAATACCGCCCTGCGGCGACGACATCCCTTCTACAAACTTACATACCTATCATGGTTCGCTGTTTGTTAGTCATGACTCAACAAAATGTCCGACTCGCTGGCAAAGTATGGTATTTACATCGATGATTTGAGCAAAATACGCGTTCTGGAGCCGGAGACGGCTAACCAGACGAATAAGCTGAAGGAGGAATGTGAGAATTTCGTGTCGAGTAAGTTACGTTGGTGTGTTACGTCAGTTATACGCAAAGAGTCACACGAGTGAGTAAAATAAATAAGTAGCTCCAAAGAGAAAACGATCGATTTGAAAAATTGCACTGGATGTTGTCGCCAATCGCACCTTCGCTGTAAATTGAGAATTTCGCTTTGAAAAGTATCGCGAGTTACCGTTACGACATGGCGGGACGTTTTCAGAGATCACTGAATTCGAGAAAAATTCCGATGACTTTATCAAAATATTGGATCACTTGGCCAGGGAAGTGGAAAAGGAAAAGATGAAAACTATCGGCGCGCGGAATCTGTTGCGTTCCGTTGCGAAGCAAAGGGAAGCCCAGAAACAGCAAATGCAGGTTCTGAGATCAACTGAGAGGATCGCGCATCGGCTGGCGCCAGAGTCGATTCTAGTCTATTCTTTTGTTTTGCAGGCGTTAATTTTGGAAAAGTCCGTGGAATTAGAACGACTACGGATACAGTACGAGTCTTTGAAAAAGATAGAAATGGAGCAACTAGAGACCATCGAACACTTATCAGTGAACTAATCGTAGCATCTTGCGTGTGTTTCTCAATTTTCTTCTCGTTACTAATTTATTGTGAGGCCGCCGACATAATGTTCAAAAATCAATTTTATCAAGCAGTTAACATTGATCTGCAAATGCTTAAATTAGAATGTACGTTGGAACTAGAAAGCAACACAAATTAATGTACATTCTTCAGTCTCTATCTTCCTCCACGATAGATTCTGTATATATTAGATGTTCCGGTTAGTTTTGAGGGATTTTTTTGCAAAAAGCACGTCTATCTCAGAGAGACGTTAAATTATATTTTATTCAAAATATTTTATATCACTAATTATAACTTTCCCACCTTCTTTCGCAATACAAGTAAATTTCACGATAAAAAAAAGATATTCGTTCTTTGAAGCAATTCATTCGTCGAGTTATTTTTTGGTTATGCTACGAATGCACACATACATGATTAGAGTCCTGAATAGTCAGAGGAGCGCAATCGAAGGGCTCGCTTGCTGATTGGCTGACTGTGGCCCGGAAGTGTTGGGCCCGCAGCTGATATTTCCGAATAAAGCCAGCGGCACACGGTGCTTGTTTTTGTGCTGGATTGCTTGCTGGATGAAAATACTGCGTTCTGATTGGTGCATTTCCATCCATCTTCGGAACAAGCACCGTGTGCCGCTGGCTTAATATTTGTAATAATAGGCCTGTTCGTTTTGTCTGCACTGCTGAACTGGTGCAATAAGTTAAAGTGAGACAAACATAGGTTTTCTCACTCTAACTTGTTGCACCAGTTCAGCAGTGCACACAAAACGAACAGGCCTATTATTAACAAAATCCGCTGTTCCTAAGCAGTAAACAAAATAAACGCCATATAATAATAATATTTATTATTTTAATAAGATATCGCTGTCTGTCACGTATCGATTTTGTCGATATTTCTCCTTTAATATTCCGAAACTTCAAAAATCTCTTATTTCACGTTGATTGATGAAATTAATGCAAAAAAATTTCTGAGTGACCAAATTGCCTCAAATACGCACAGATTACTTTGTTCACAAGCGATCAGCCTGCTGCGGGGGGGGGAGGAGTACCGCTTGTGCTTCTCTAATTACTTAAGACTCTGCACATGACATATGTCAAATTATTTGCAGAAATGTCCAAGTTTTGAAATGACATGTGAATTTTTAAGATGTCTCTAGTAGATTCGTAGCTACATGAGCCCTTAAACCTAACCGGAACACCTAATATTATCTTTTGATTGATTATATAATGAATATATATATATATATATATATATGACTTGAGGTAATAAAAATCAATCAACTATAATTAAATGTATAAATCTTTTTAAACATGAATAAGGAAGAAGATGTCTTAATTTAACAGTGACAATTGATACAATATAATGAATAACAATATTAGATTATGCTCAATATGTTATATTGCGTTGTAGGCATTAAACGTAGACGTTAGGTATTTTCAAATATCAAATCCAAGCCTTTGTTACTCCCGCAATTGGGGAAGTCGATCGGCACGGGCGGCAGATTCCGATGGAGGCCGACTCTCATCAGAAATTGCATGCCAGGCCCAAACAGTTGAGGATATATAGCGGTGCTTCTTGCCTCCCACAGCCAGTATCCTGTCGAGAGTAAATTGCCATTATTGATTATTTCATGTAGAATCACGGTGTTGCCCGACGGATGGAATTCTCACCTAAATTGTCACTGTAGAAACGAAGGATAATGTAGCCTTTATTCGGCACGACAAAGGTGTCCTTTTGTACCGGGTTTACAAGATTTCGGTGTATCCTCCCGTTACTGTCCAAGGATTCGATGTAGTTTTTGGTGATAGGCCGCTCGAAATTTTCTTGGCCCATAACGCTGGCACTGTAACCGTGTAAGTGAAATGTGTACGACGCGTTGCTTCCGAAACCTAGAAGAGACAGAAATGCCACACTTCTGTACATCATACGTTACATTACAAACAGAATTATAGAGAGTCTGGGCGAATTCTCCAAGTCTTTTATTTTAACTTTTATTTTAACTGGACAACTACCTTCGTTTATCAGCACAACTTCGACTGTTTTTCGCGATGGGACCTGAATTAACTGCAAGCATTCGCAGAACAGCGGTGTGTCGGCGCATTCTCTGGAGCGTTCGTCGATGCCGCATATTGAGTTCTTTATGCTTTCTTCAGATTGTGACAGTATCGGAGACGAAGGATACTTGAAAGAGATGCCGTTAATCTGCGGCACCTGCGTCGTGCCTCTCTCTAAACCTGAAATGTCCACCGAGATGAGTGACAACAGTGAAAATTTTAATAGATATAAAGGAGGTTCTACTATAAAAAGATCAAAGAAGAATGTGCAACAAGATTTGTAAGAGTCACGAACACTTTCGATTTTTACAGACATTTTAGATTCTTATTCGCTGAAAAAGTTTCTTCCTCGCAAGAAAGCACTCGACACAACGGTCAATCAGCACGACATTTATGCGAGAGAGCATACGATTGCATTTATTGGGCTGTTGAACCCCCACTATACATGAGTTTTATATCTTCTTGCAATTGAAGCTTCGCGTCAGTAGGCGAACGAGCGTTTTAGCTGTCGAGGCATGCGCTTGTGAGCAATATGAAAAGGACAACGCAGAAAAAATGGTCTTACTCAGGTAAGCCGGATAGTATCTCCATGTGTAAAAGTTATAACTATAATCCGTCATCTCGTCTGTAAACGAGAAGGTGTTCATGTCGAAGGGCACGTAGATCGTCTCGTCCGCTTTCTCCTTCAGCTGCGACAGCTTAGCACTCTTCAGGTCCAAAGAACAAATGACGTCTTTCGATATTCTGTGACAATGATGACCACTCTCGGCAATCGTAAGTGCCTGTTCGTCGAAACTCCTCGCGATCCTTAACGCGTACGAATTCACCGCCGCGTCTTCGTAGAAGATGTACATCTCGTAACGCTTATCTCGACAATCTCGGAGACCCTGTACATCGAGCGCATACTTGCCGATCGCCTGATTCGCCGCCAGGACGCCGTCGAGTCTTTCGCCTGAAAAGAAATTCATTCTTGTGATTTATATCGCGCACACATATACGCGATCGATCTCAAATTTCCCACGCTCCTCTCTCTCGAGCAATTTCGAGTTTCTCGATTCCACAAGGTCCAACTTCTCAGCGCTTTGAGAGATCAATTCTCTCCCGCTCCGAGCACTTTGACGGCCGCGCTCGTCGCGGAAAACTTTTCCTTTGCTGTCAGCAGATTTCAAGAACTCAAACGTGGTGTGTGTCAAGATGAGTATTCTTCTCGTTCACAAATCCACAAATCCACCTTTACATGGTCCTCGCCATATTACGGCCACGAGTCCGTCATTATCGACAAATATTTCTCGACAAGGCGACAGCCCGGGCAAAGGACGAAAATGTGGAGACACGCGTATGTGACGGCGGCCATCAAGGTGTCGGTAAAAAGTCGCAAGAGTCACAAAAGCCTCGTCAGTCTGCGGGTGACAACCCGCGAAATATCTGCGGGTCTGAGACATCGGACGATGCAATCATCGACGGGCGCTCGTACGTAACGTTAACGCTAGAATTTTTATTGAACAAAAGTGTACAAAGTTCAACGTATATATATATAATAATAAAAGTTTACACAAAATATATCTAAACAATTATACTGGAAGATGCTCTACCAAGTAGTACTTGTTTTTTTTTTCTTTCGAGAAGAAAGGAAAACCCGCGTACTCGCTAGTACGTCTAAATTTGAACGAGACAAATAATCGTGCTGTTGGCTGGTCTGCCGGCCGGCCGGCCGACATATTGCACTATTGAATGCACATTTCGATGAATTTTCTCAACGTCTATGTACGTTAGATTAATCGGCTTAGTTTCGTAGTCTTGCTTCCCACCGAATGTTCAGCGTTTCGCAACACTCTCTCTCTCTCTCTCTCTCACATACAACATACGCGCACATATACACACATACACACGCCACTGATATTTTTAATAAACCCGAGCCGACGAACGCTACGTGAACTCGCATTGAATTTTCGTTCGTTTCGCGCGAGCACTCAGAGACACCGGGAGACACGTCGTGCCATTTGGCGTCTCCCAAAGCAACAGGGTTCTCCGTATTCTCGAAAAATGTCGCATACGATATTTCACGAATGTCACTAGATATCACGATTTTCAGCCAATTAAATTGCACTATTGATGAAGCATCGTATACGATGTTTTTCACACATTAGGAAGTTTTTGCAATATCGTCTCTCAGATACGATAAACGTTAATTGTGAATGCTATTGGTCGCGTTTCAACGTTCTTTCTAAGCGAATAACGTTCACGATTTATGTTCACCGTATCTGAGAGACGATGTTGCAAAAACTCCCTATTTTTTAAGAATACGGACCCAGGAGCTCGATTCTCGAAAAATGTCGCATACGATATTTCATAAATGTCACTAGATATCACGATTTTCAGCCAATTAAATCGCCCCAATAAATTGATGAAATATCGTGTACGATGTTTTTCACAAATTTTCGAGAATAAAGGCCCAGCGCTCTTAGGCCTATATTCTGAACTCTCTTTCATCACCAGAAGTGACTCTAAGAGTAGCTTACAGCCAATCAGGAGGCTTATGGGCCACTTTTATAGTCACTTTTAACGATAAAAGAGAGTTTAGAATATGAAAAAATATATATATATATATGAAAAATATCGTAAAAAAGAAAATAAAAAAAAATATCGTACGTAATATTTCAAATCAATGGGATAATTTAATTGGCTGAGAATCGTGATATCTAATGACACTCGTGAAATATCGTGTGCGACAATTTTCGAGAATATGGGCCCAGACAAGATTTGTACGTTTAATTCGTTAATCATAACGATTCACTCGCCTGGCATCCGAGTGTAAAACCTCGACGCGGGCTCCGTTTGCCGGAGCAAAACCGCATTACAGACTATCGCAACCCGAACACGTAATCACCGCTGCTCGCCTCTGTATCCGCGACTCGGATGGACACTTAAGACCTTAACGCTAACGAGGAGTAACTACCTATTTATTTATCTATTACGAGAGAGAGTGTGATATCGCGGATTAATGTATTGCGTTCTTCTTCTCTTTCCTTCTTTCTTTCTGTCTGTAAGAGGTCGGAAGTTGCGGAGCTGCGTCCGCGATCGTGCGTCACGCGGCGGTGATTACGATCGAAATCTCGCGGGATCGCGGCGTTCGCGTCTCATCGTCCCTCGAAACGCTTCGGCGGACGCGAGACGTCGCCTCCCGCATCGCTCCGCCTCGTACTCGCGAGCCGAGATCTCGCGTCGACACGTCGACTGCCACGGATGGACCGGCGCTGCATAGTGTTGCTACGTCTCTCTGTACTGTGCAAGTAGAACGTAACCACAACTGCGTGTAACAATCGCATAGCCAAGGCAGAGAGCCAATGAAACGAACACATGCGTCGCGCGAACGGCGTTCTGTGCATGCCGCATCTTTGGTCGTTGAAAGCCGAGCGGAGCTCGCTGAAATAATCAGCGGAAATCAGCGTGGTAGTCGACGCGTTAACGGGAATTAATCGAGCCAGCGGACGATGCGACGATCGATTGTCTAATTGGAGACGACGACAGATACTGGCGCGTCTATCGACATCGACGTTTCTTTCTCTTCTCTTCGTCAACTGGTACAGCGAGCGAGACGAAAGATGCGGATCAACCGTTGCTCTTCACACCGGAGCTACCAGAGACGCTGAGAAAACGAGCGCTTTGCAATTTCTTTATAATTCTTGTGTGTAAAGATTCCAATTTCAATTTCTTACAAAGATCGCTCAAATTTACACAACAACGCGATGCCTGACGTCCATTCTCGATGGACGCTGAATCGAAGCCAGAGAAATGGACAAACATCTTTGCCCTCGAAAACTCGCAACTTCCACCGAGGTGGATCCACCGTCGGTAGCTCCAGTGTTGAAGAAGAAGCAAAAAAAAGAAAAGAAGAGAAAAAGAGGAAAAAGAAGACCGGTCTAACATCGACGTGTTCTCGCTTAAACATTCACGAAGACGTGTCTCGCGGCAACACTGCCTATTGTACAGTCTTCATCATCGATTCAGTCTTGATTAGAACTCCGTTATCAACGTCGGGTTGATAACGACACAGCGCGCCCAGTGCGATCCTGAGCGTGTAAGCTCGAGAACAATACCTATGATGCTATAACCTACGATCTCTGGCGGAACCATCGCCAGGCTGTGTCGCTGGGAGCCACGACGAGCTTCTCTCTAAGTTGCGCGCGACGGTCACGTTTGATTCTCCTAAGGCTAAGGATGCGCGATTACTTAAGAACGATCTCCTCGCTCTCTACCTCTATCCGACGATGATAACGCACGGAAGCGATCAAGAGGGCACGGGGGGAGAAGAGGGAGAGATACATGGACCGTACATTTATTTCGTCGGCTTGCAAAACGCGGATCCTTGCTGCCGACAATGGCAGCAGGCCTATCCTGTAACTCTCAACGACAACGTCGTCGTTGCCGTGTGTCTTCTTCGTCGTGTGTCAATACCCGCGCGCGACCAGGCAGCGATGCAACGACAACGACAACGACACACTCTCGTTGGAAGTCGGAGAATAAATGTTTGCCACAAGAGCGAGCGAGGTCTCGTTCGCTTTGCGAGCTCAACCGCAAGTCTTTTTCTCACTTGTCTTCTCTCACAATCTGTCTCTTCAACTCGCAGTCCCCGAAATCTACGAAGGATTCCAAGTGAGCCTCGCTTCGCAGCACGCGGCTGTCAACGACGAGCGAATCGACGATGTGCCGGCAACAACGACCTCATCGCGCCGCTTTGTCTCTCTTCTGCTGATGGTCCAAGCTGAAGAATCGCAGCCCGGGCTCGCGAGAGCGGCTCATTAGCGACGCGTTTGCGCGTAGACCCCGATCTCCGCCTCGAAGAGGATCTGATTGATCCTTAGCTTGGCGACCGACCTCGAGTACGAGTCGGGGATCTCGGCGAGTTGCACGGCGATGCTCTCACCGAATTTGGCGAACTCCTCCTTCGTCTTTTTCCGCTCTTTCTCGTCGGCGCCGGCCTCGAGCTTCGTCTGGCCGGATTCGTCGAGGTCGGCCGGCGGACTGTCTTGACTCGGCAGGGAGCCGTTGTACAACTCCATCGCCTTCAGGCTGGACGACGATGACTCCTCGGCGTCTTCGCTGAGCGAGGCGTTGAAGGAGCCGGTGCCGGAGCCGTTCGTCTCCTCTTCGTTGCAGTCGATGAACGTGATGCTCTCGGGGTCGATGTCGCTGACAATGTACTCCTCTTGCAGCTTCGACACCTCCTCGACTTTCTGCGCAAAAAGGGATCACAGGCTGGGTCAGGGGAATCTTAGCGCGGTGCTTTTCACAGCGACGGGACAAGACTCGACGAAGACGCTCTTCTCTCTCTCTCTCTCTCTCTCTCTCTCTCTCTCTCTCTCTCTCTCTATCCATCCTTCTTTTTCTTGCCGTTCTCTCGCGATTACTTCAGCGGCTTCTACGCGCAAGTCGCACCACGAGCGGTACAATTCGCTCTATTATGCTCGGTTCGCACGACCCCGAGCTAGTCTCGCGCGTCGATCTCCGAGGAAGCCCGCCGTTGGAACTTTCACGCTTACTTATCTCTCCTCGTGCGAATCGCGCGTCGTTCCGTTGCGACAGTCACGTCGCGCGACACGGCTCGGCCTCCTGGAGCATCGAGCGGAGATCATGGCTCGCCATCGCCCGGACCCTCCTCAGAGCGTGCACTTCTTTCAGCGGTCGGGAGAGCGAAGGAAGGAGCTTGGGACCGGGAAGGACGCGGGGCCATCGAGTCGGGCACAGACAAAGATCGACTCGAGCCTCCAGCCGCAGGAAGTTGACGGTAACGGGTCGCGTCACGTCGCGTCGCGTCGCGTCGCCACGAGCCAACGAAATATTTCTCTCGACAAGCGACGCGTCGCGCGCTGCTCGTTAGCGTCCAACTACGTCGCTAACGTCAGTCTCGCTGACATTCCGAAATCGCTGCACCGCCTGTCGCGCGGCGCGACAGGGTCGATGCGACTTGCGACACCGCCGGGAGAATCGCTCGGCCGGCTCTCGACGTCCCGAGAACAAGGGCTTTTCGTTCTGTGCGAGACCGCGCGCACGACGTGGGATTTTACATCTCCCGTGGCATTGAAGCCACTTACTTAATCGGAGAAACTCTCTCTCTCTCTCTCTCTCTTTCTCTCTCTCTCTCTCTCTCGTCGAGAGAGACCTCACGTTCGGAGGAGGACGCTTCTCCGACGGTCGACAATTTATCCTCCTGAAGGAGGCGCGACGATTCTCCCTTGTTGATGCGACAAAAAAAAAAGAGAGAAAAAAAAACGGGTGAGTTTTTTTTCCCCACAATCGTTCGGGACGATCCAGTTGTCGTGCGTGCATTCTCGCGCGGTGGAGTCTCGCGAGCTCGCGCGCTGTCATTTCCTACGGCAGAAGCAGAGAGAATAGATCCCTGCGTGGTATAACGGAGATATTGAGAAACACGCTCTCGATATCGAGAACCAACCGACCGACCGACCGACCGACCGACCGAGTCTGTCGGGAATTCGCTGTGAAAAGCATAAGAGATCTCGAGGGTGGGCTGATGGACCGGTCTCTCACTCTCTCTCTGTCTCTCTCTTCCTCTTCTGCCTACCTTCTTCCGTTTGCTATATCTGCGTGTGCCGAATTGTAGGAACTGCATGGCCTTGAAGGCGAACCACTTAGAGACGTATACGTCATCGGGGCCGGTGGCGGCGTCGCGACTGTTCTGTATCTTGTGCACCTCTCGGGAATACTGGCACTTGAGATTCGTGATCTTCTTCTCGACCTCGAGAGTGTTGCAGCAGAGGATCTCGGCGAGCTCCTGGATCGCCCGCTTGCGCTTCGCGCGGTCCCGATAGCCGCGAGCGTTCCAGTCCCAGAGGACGCGCCGTTGCTGGTACTCGCGCAGCAGCTCCAGGGTCTTGTCGCGAGTCCACTCCATGCCGACGCGCGTCCCACTAGTGCCCAGGCCGTCCCAGAGCGTCCCGTGGCTGTACATGTAAGGTGACGACGCCGGTGACGTGTGCGCGTTTCTTCCCGATCCTCCCACAGCGGTTTTCGGCGTTCGTCGGCGGACGCGACGACACGCGCGCGTCGCCAGCGGTACGCGGCCAAGGCGGCCGCCGGAGGGAGAGCGCGGTCAACCGATTCGGCGGCGGGCGCGGCGCGGTTGTCCACCGTCCGCTAATAAATCGCGGGCCAGAGCGCCAACACGACGAAAGCCGCAGCCGCGAAACGAGCACGCGTTTTAATGATTTTTGCGCGGGGCTCGCGCGCGCTTGGCCACCTTCCTTTCTTTATTTCCCTTTGCGGAAACCCCGGCGAGAGCACGAAGACGGCCGAGTCTGCGCAAACGTCCCGCCTATCTGCCTCCTCGCTGCCTCCTCGCCGCGCGCACCGTACCCACGTCGTCGTGCATCGCTTAGCCGAGCGTGCTAACGCTGTTGTGTAAGTGGGAGAGAGAGAGAGAGAGAGAGAGAGAGAGAGAGAGAGAGAGAACGGAAAAAAGAGAGAGAGAGAGAGAGAGAATCGCCCTCCTCTCTTCTCGCGGCTGTCCCTGCTGCTGCCCGCCAGCGATCCTACCGATGCCGCCGTCGCCGATGCTACCGATGCCGCTCTCTTCTCTCCTCTCCTCTCCGCTCTTCTCCTCGCCCTACCAAGAGCCGAGAGATCTTTCTTTGTCTGCTCCGTTAAGCGAGCATGAGCACCGATGCGGTGCTAGGACTCGCGCGTCAAGGTTGTGTCGGACGGCGACTCCGAATTATGGAGAATGCCTCATCGCTCGCGCTCCCACGTCCTAGCGCGGCTGAAGAGGAACCGGACGTCGTCCTCTCTAGAATGCGCTCCGTAGCATCCATTTTTTCCTTCATGTCCTGCGCGTGTCTGCTAGCTTCCCCCCTTCCTTTCCCCCTCTCACTCTCTGTTTCTCACTCTCTCCAAGCGCCTCTGCGATTAGCTGTGAATCAATATGAGATTTGCGTTAGCGACACTTCAATCAGCGAGGAGTCTCGCAAACGGACAGAGGAGGAACGTCGATCAGAGATCGTCGAGTAACTGCCCGCTCAAGACCTATCTTTCTGCGCACACAGTGGAACGCGTTTAGGTAACGAACAATTCTCTCTCTCTCTCTCTCTCTCTCTCTCTCTCTCTCTCTCTCTCACTCTCTCTCTCTTCTCCGTCTCTCTTCGTCAGCTCTCCCTCTCTGCTCCTCACTCCCTCGTTCTGCCCCAATTCGTTCTCCCTCATTCGTTCATTACTCCGTCCGTCTGCCGTCGTCTCTCTTTCTTGGCGCAGTGAATGCACCAGACGGGAGTGCAGTCGCGTTGGAGTACATGCGGGAGATTGATCGGAATCAGCAACGCGTGGCGTACACACGAAGGTGCATACACCGCGCCTCCTCGCGCTCATGCGTTTCTCTCTTCGCGCCTCCTTCCTCTTCTCGCACGTGTCTTTGTCCCGCGTCGCAGGCGCCAATGCTGTTGCTGCTGCTGCTGCTGCTGCTGCTGCTGTCGTCGTCGTCGTAGCTGTTTCGTGCTCTTCATAATAATTCATCACGAGACGATTTGACACGCCCGAGCAACCGAAGCGTGGTGGTCCGCAACGCTCGATTTCGAGTCGCTAGCCGGTGTTTCTTTTATATCGCACCATTTAACCGTCTCTGCGGGATAATCACAGCAAGTTCATTGTAAAATGTCCGCTGCGGTACACCGGGTATAACGCACTGCGGACGATCTGATCGCAGCCCTGCGGGACTTATCGGGACCTGAATATTCATTCGACATGTACAATGCGCAAAATATACGTGCATCAGCGACGCTCGCACGTCGCTGAGCTTCGCTGATCGATGGAAATTGTCTCGCGAGCTCGGCTAATCGAGGCCCCTGGCCTCTCGCCGCGGCCATCTTCATTCGTCGACGTCGCAGGCGAGGGAATGCACGCTCCGAAAAATCGCTCAGAATACAACGAAATGAAAGGATACATCCATAAGACGATACAATCGGTTGATCGTACCTGTAAGATGGTCCGATAGTCACACTTTCCTTCGGCTCTAACGATCAATAAACGGCCGTGAGATTAACGGCAAGATAGTTTGAAGAAGTAGGTTGCACATCGCGTTAATTTTACGACGATTTATTGATGACTAGAGCAAGAAGGGCATTTGTTAGGATTTAATTTACAAGTCAGCTCGATCGATTGCATCGATCGCATTTTGCAGACGTGTCTTCTTCTTTCATCGACGCAGAAGTTCATTTCGCAGAAGTTTTCAACGTGCATTTCTCGCTTCCGACGTCGTCAATCAAACGACGTCCCTGACGAGCAGCCAGGTACCATAGACCCCTTTCAGACCGAGGATTGAGCGTGAAGGATCGCAACCGACCAATGTAAATCCTATGTTTATCTCATTATTCCCCACTCATCTCGTTGTAACCCACAAGCCAAAGTCCATTACGGGCTTGAAGATCGCGTGGGCCTTCATCGCTTCGCGTATTCGCGAATTTACTGATACCTCTCCGCGAGCGCAATCAGCTCCCCAGCAAGGTGAGCCCGCAGCGCGCGGGCGCGACTCGCTGCAGTATCAGTAAAAGCAAGGAGCAACAAAAGCGGGAAACAAAAACTCATATCGATCTACGGCGATACAAAAGCGCGCGTGGTGAGACGGGGCGGTGGAGGAAAGGAGAAAAAAAAACGGCGGGATGTGAAACGTACCTGGAAATAAAACGACATGCGTGCCCGTCATCGATTTCACAGGGTTGCCATCGGCGGCCGACACTCGAAGCGAATGCCCGTGGAGGGACAGCAACACGGGACAATCGTGTGCATTGGCGTTAACGAGACGCAGCAAATAGCGAAGACCATGTTTCACCCGCAGCGTCAGTTCCCGCGTCTGCAAAAGGAAGGAAACAGCCAGATATATCTTGGAGGTCTTCATCGTCCCCACCTACGCATTCTTATTTCGATTTTACGCCGTTATCGAACACGGCAACGCCGAGAGCCGTACACACTGCAATTATTATCTTCGCGATACCGCGATACGTTTTGCACCAGAACAACAAGGCGAGGTGAGGTGAGACGAAGACGAAGACGAAGACGAAGACGAGCCGGCCCGACCGGCGAACGAGAAAGAGCGAGCGAGCTGGTCTCTCCCCGAGAAACGAGTAACAATAATGGCAGAGCACTGGTACCTGGCCGTTTACGAGGAGCTCGCCCGGTGTAGGTGGATGCAGGCGCGATCGTCCTGTCAGCGGAGTCGGCGACCTTGATGACAGTACAAGTATCCTTTCCAGACTGGGGTCATCCTGTGGTCCTCGAACTGTCAACGACCCGTACACTCCGTCGCCCTGTTGGGAGACTAATGGTTCCCCTCGACTTCATTTTTCTCGCTTGGAACTGGCTCGTTCTACGCGCCTCTCGGGGCGTCGTCCTTCGGGATACGCGCGTTCGTGTGCAAGTAACACGGAAATTGATCACCACGTCACGTCACGTCCCGTTCACCGGATCGAGTGGCCGACCGATTTCATTTCTCGCGCTTCCCGAAGGGAACGGTGCACCCAAGTCGCGCGCGGCCCGACGCGACATTCCCGGTTCACGATTCATGCTCCCGGAGGCGCGATCTTCTCGTCCACGAGGAAGGGAATTCACAACGAGAAGCGCGACAGGCGGTACGACTTTTATTCGCGGCGGCAGAGCTAAGCGACGAGGAAACCGAGCGCCGGTTCCTCCTCTTTCGAGACCACGGACATTATTGATCTTGCTTTTCTTGATGCGAGCGCCGGATAGAACGACGTTCTACGGCGTAGACCGGAGTCAAATTCTGGGCGAGTCGATTGTAAGCTCGAAACCGCACGAATCGTTGCCGCGCGTCCCGCGAAAGATCCGACGATCTTTCCCTCGGCTCGTCGTGGTCCTCCCGAACCACCGCTTGTCCTTGCGCGCGACTCAAATCTTGACGAATTTTCAGACGCTGCAATGTACGCCGCGCGGGATATCTACGCGCGGCAAGGTCTACAGGAGAGGAACGAGCCGGGAATTTTTGCGAATTAACAAGATGACAATTAACTCTGAATCGGGGAGACATTACTCTAAAGCTCTAATTTCGGACTAGCTTACGTACCTGAGTGAGCGTGATAGAAATGCGTTCCCGCGCTCTCCGGACTTATCTTGTAGCGGAAACCACTGAAGGGTAAAATAGGACACTGTGTTATCATGGGCACGCCGTCCATATGGTTGAAACCCTTCTGCCGGATTCCGTGCCAGTGGACGGCCAATTCGTCGCTTCCTAATTTGTTGTGAACAACAACCTCTATCGTGTCGTCCAAGCAAACCTGATCGCAGAATTATATCATGTTTTTTTTTTTTCAAAGAGATCTTTTTACGCAGATTACAGAACTTTCTCTCCGCCGCTCGACACCATCCACTATGATTGCGATAAAGAGCGTTTAATGATAATAATAATAACGATAATAATAATAACATACCTACAGTTCCTTCATATAAAAATTATCAAATTTCATATCAAAGAATCATTATTTGAAAAATGGACAGGTAAACGAGATCTAAACAGTTACGTTAACATGTCGTTCAACTTCGCGTGTAATTGAATGCAACTTTCTATTTTCACGTTGATCTTTTTGATCTGATTTGCGGAATGAATGTATCGCGCAGCGCGAGAAAACCATGTTGCATATGTACTTGTATAGCTGGCCCTGGACTCCTCCCGTTAATCGCCAAACGCTTCCTTCTCGTGGTATAATTTGCGCAATTAGAAATCTCGGCCTTGTCCTCGGATTCATTGCAAAAACTGTTAATTGTAACAAAAAGAAGGCAACGTTGACATTGAACGGTCAATACAGCGGCATTGTACAAAAAACAATATGGCGACAATCAGTAATTGTTGCATCTGACAAATTCTGAGTCTACTTTTACACGGCGAGCTTATACTTTTAGATGTCGACGGTAATAAGTGTTCAGCGCGTGTTCAGCGTGTGTTTCCAAGCATTGAAACATGTTGTAGCTTGTATAGACTAGAGATGTGCGAATCAAGAATTTTTATGTCGAGTCGAATCGAATCAAATCTCATTTTTTTAATTCGAATTCGAATCTATGAAATTTCACTCGAATTCGAATCGAATGGAATGAAATCGAATCATTAAAAAATTTAATATGACTATTAAACATGCAAATAATAATGGAAGATTTTAATATGAAAGGGAATATTAATATCGTAATATCATCTTAAAGTAAAATATATATTTAAATATTTAAAGTAATTTATAATTAAGTCATTAATTATAAGTTAAGTTAATTACAAATTAAGGGTTCAAATATACAGACCCAGATGGCCCGTTTTGTAGCTGATGCACGCAAACGATAATGTATTTGATTCCTATTCGAATTATTCGGATTTGAATCATAGGGATTCGGATTCGAATCGAATCGAATCTAATGTAATTCGATTCGATTCGAATTCGAATAGTTCGCACATCTCTAGTACAGACAATATGCTCACTGTCGGCCATGAGTATAAACCGTTAGGATACTTTGATTTTCATTCGTAAATGAAAAATGGCTCGACAGCACTTGCTTTTTGCACTTTTCGAAGCGTCTGAATGAAAAATTGTATTTATTTATTGACACGAGGCTGATTTTGCGGAGGCCCGAACTGTCGAGTGGCTGCAACATCCAACCAGATAAATTCGTAAATTACAGCTCGTCCAAAGTGGATTCCGATTTATGTGCATTTTTTCCTCACGCGTCTGCCTGTCACATCTTTAATTCTGTTAATTTAAAAGTAAGATAAAAGCACAGTTTTACTCTTGCGTTCGTATCGCAATCTCACCTTGACGCCTCGTACGTCTCCGTGACAAAGAAGTTGTAGACGCATGTCTTCCTCGACGATCGCTCGTCGGAACAACGGCGCGCACACTCGTGATTGTCGTCATCTATTTTGCGAAAGCGAAAAACATGATTATTTATAATCCCATATACGCGATATACCGCACTAACCTACATCGGCCTACGTTATTCAACGAGCTCGTAGCATCACTTCCGTTCTTCTCGTTCGAAACAACACGAACGAAGACGAAGACGCGAAACCGCCAATACTGATCGCGAAGTAACGGAATGCAAATCTCGCAAAGATCACGATTCGTGCGACAAAACTGACCGACGAAATGCACATGAAATCGTATATGGCAATCACTGAATTTGCTTTCCGGCAATGAAAATGCATAATCGCGTTAACGGTCGTTGCACATACGCACGAAGTTTTGACGAAGATTCTGCAAGCTCGGTCTCTCTCTTTCAGGAACACGATTCTCCGTTTCGGTCACTCGGTAGAACGTAGCCAACAATGATAGGAGTTCACTTACCGAAAATCCCTTGACTCAAGGTTGACATCCAATAGGAGAAGAATACGAATATTACAGAGTTGCAAAGACTCGCCATGTTGGCCCAGAATACCTGGGTTGCTACTGAGTGCGTGCACGTACATAGGTTCGAATGATCCTGCGCGGGATCCGAGCCGACGATGCTCGACTAACAGGAAGTGAACGCTTCGCGAACAGGAACGGCTGAACGGTCCGCTATTTAGAGGTTACGAGTGGGTGAAAGCAAGGCCTAGGCTATGCTATTAAGTATCACACTCGGAGAAAGGCCAGGTTTTTAGATCCGTGTGTTGTGCCCGCACACAACTATCTCCGTATACCTACCTCCACTTCTTCCTTCCTGCCTCTCTCCCAAGTCCGCGTTACATGCGGCTTGTTTTCTTCCAAACGCAGGAAATGCAGACAAGTGCGAGAACTTGCTATTTTGTTTATCGGTCGGATGCGTGGACACCATATCTTCACCGTTCTCCATCATGCTGCGCGCGTGTCGCTAGTATACATATCTTCAAATTTGTAGAGCGACTCGCGCAGGCGACGGTTTCTTCTTTCAAAAGTTTAAAATGGGAAGTCGCTTACAATTTGTTCTTTTTAGCTGGATAATATAAGTACATCAACTTGCGTCGAAGAGAAAAGGAACGAAGTTTCGGAACGAAATGCAGCGCTAGTTCAGTTAAATGGACTTAAGATTCCAACAGGATAACGGTTTTAATGAAAATTTAGAAGATCTTTAATGGAAGTTCGAAGATTAAAGACATTCTCGTATAAATATATATATCTATTGTTTGTTATACCACATATGTACACCTAATATTTGTCATATCATATCTCTATCTCTCTCCCTCTTTCTAATATAATTTATAATCATATTTGTAATATAAAATTATACTGACAAACAATTCTATATTATTTTTGTACATTATTTAATTGGCTAGAATAAGATTGGTTTTGTAACATTCTAAGCTGCATAATGGTACGCCGGTTTTTGAGCAAGTATATTTCTTCGGCTTTCTACATTGATTAACACCGCAAAGAACTTGCTTTGATAGACTTTTTCTGAAATAGAATAAAAAGAAATTTATGTTTCTACATAATGTTGAATGTCATTAGAAAGACATGTATTGATATAATTTTATCTTACCCCTTAGCAGGACGAAGTGGAAAATCTTCACCTGGTGGCAGAGATATAGAACTTCCTTCAACTGTTAAACGATAAGTCACTAACGGCACTTGCCGCCTGGACAGTCTTCCTTTGCTAATTACTTTGGATGCTTTGGATTCTTGTTTCTTAAGTAATCTTTCCATTGTCTTTTTCTGCAAAAACGACACAGAGAAACGTATTTGCCTTTTATCTCTTAATTACCACAGAAGAAAATTTGGTTAATTTAAAGCTTGATTACAAATAGTACCTTGTCCTTTTCCCTTTTCTCATCAGCTAATTGTTTCCGTTTTAGAGACTTTAGAGCAGCCTTTTGTATAGCTTCTGCAGTCATAACTTTTTCCTTGTAACCAGTAGGTAATGACATCAATTGCTCCACACTTTGATTCGGTTCTGTATCAGTCTTTCTCTCAAACATTGCCCTCTGTCGAGCTGTCATCAGTTTGGGATCTTTTGGCTTAATCTTTTTTAATTCATCATCAACCTGAAACAAAACATATATAATTATGTTATGTTTAATCACAGTTAACATTTTGAGCAGCTGTATTGGATAAACAAAATTTTTTTAATGATAAGCACAGTTGTCAAAATTAATTATTAACCATCATTATTTGTCATATGCAAATAACTACAATATAAGATGAAAATCAAATTTTATACTATGACAACAATATAGTATATGGACTATGTGAGCAAAAAATACCTCTTCAAGTTTACCAGATTCAATAGCATCCAACCATCTTTCTTCTTCGCTGCTGGTGCCGCTGTCTTTACCTTTGTTACTTTTAGGGATTTTCTTCTTTGTGATTGCTTTTGGAGAAGGTGCAGTACTTGTTGTAGGTGTACTCAAGCTGCACGTCTTTAATAATTTTTCTCGTTTGTCCATGTTACTAAATGACACAATATTAGGCATAAGATAAGTCATTATTAGAGAAATTAAGGACTGTACATAATTTCCACTTGCTCTGTTCAAGTTATTTTAAAATATGATACCTTCTCTCATCTTCTTTCTTTACTTTTATTCTGAAGCTCTTTTTTCTATCGACATCAACCGAGATGTCAGCAAAGTTATCACTGTCATCCTGCATGAGCTTCTTTTTCTTGTGCTTTTTATGCTTATGCTTTTTGTGTTTCTTTTGTGGCGGAGCATCGCTCGTATCTGTCATGTATTCGTTGTAGAGAATGTCACAGAGAAAATTATATATTTTTTTATAAACAGTGTAATGCATTGTGTATAAACTTACCTAAATTGATTTCTTCTTCCGTGCTTACGTCTTTTGGTTTGCCCATCGGCTTAAAGAGCAAGAGTAACCGAATCTACCGAATAACTAATATATTTAACAATCGATATGCGATCGTAAACTGTAATTGCTTAAATATTAAAGTAACAGGCGTAGGAGGCCAAAAGGACAAAGGGGGTTATATTTTCAATTGAACTGTCAAGTAAAAGCCTCTCGAGAAATGGATTCTTCTTTATACGTTAACCGTAACAGAGATAGAAGATAATCGAAATATAAATCGATTATCTTCTCGATCTCAAATTTCGATTAATCCTTAGCATAGCACCGCTAGATGACGCCAGCCAATCTAATTAGTTGTTTTCTCAGCATCCAATGTAGAGTCGTTTTCGATTTGATTGATTAACTGATAACGTCGCTCCTTGCGTGATATAAACATACAAATTGTTGCGTCCTCCATTTATATATGCAGAATACTGCATATACATCTCGACTGTCAATGTGAATAATTCCAGAGAGAAACCAGAGAGTGACCAACACTAGAGTCCCTATAGTAAGCCAATGTTCTAGTTGGATACAAAATGGCTACTACACCTGTACTGCACCTACTGTAATCTCGGTTTTTACGCGTGCACATGCAAGTGATAACATAACATTATTTCATCTTGGAAAAAACTTCCAACACAATAAGAAGAGTATATATAAAAATATTTATAATAATATTTTAAAAATGACTGGTTGTTGCATACCGGGATGCAGAAATAGAAGTGAAAATGGCTTCTATATGAAACGTTTTCCAATAAGTAAAAAACAAAAAATTATATGGTTGAAACAAATTGGAAGAGAAAACTGGAAACCGAAACAATATTCAGCAATTTGTGAAGTAAGCATGTAATTATATCAAATAATAAACAAAACATGTTTCTCATCTAATTGTATTTGTAGGTTCATTTTACTAAAGAAATGTGGGAAAAACCGCGACAGGATGGTTCCAAGAAATTAAAAACACAAGCAGTGCCAACAAGTTTTCCTTATACAAAAGTAATGTCGGAATCTTTCGATGGAAAAATAAAGAAGTTAAAATATAATGAAAACAACGATGAAAATAATGAAGAACCTACAAGCATTATATTCAATTGTTCTCAAGTTGTAAGTAATGTTGATGAAGAGCATCCTGCAATAGAGAATAATTCATGTCCACCATTTATTGACAATGTTGAAGTATATGATCAGATGATACATTGCAATACTCATTTATTATCATCAAGTGAAAATAATGTAAATAATGAGAACACAAATGTGCCTGCAACTACATCCTCATCAATATTCAATGTAACACCATCTACATTGGAATATGCTCTAGAACAAATAACATTATTACAACAAAAAGTGAAACATAAAGAAACAGAAATAAAACAAATGAAACAACAATTTGAGATTGCTAATAAAGTACTTAAGAAATGTGACAAAACGCGAGAAACTCTTATGAATTGTATTAGACGATACAGAAGTACAAATAAGCTACGTGTAGAAAACACTTTGTCACAATCAACACAGTTATTTCAAAAAGTGTTCAACAATGATCAAATTGAGTGGTTAAAATCAAATTCAAGCAACCGACGTATGTACAAGTGGTCTAAAAAAACTATTAAAGAGGCTCTTCGAATAAAATTCTCTTGTACTAATAGTGGTTATCAAGAACTGATTAATCAAAAGATTCCATTACCATCAACACGCACTTTAAGAAGAAGTCTTTACCCCAGGAATAATAGATGATTTTTTCATGCCATGAAAGAGAAAATTCAACAATTTGAAGATGACAGACAACATGATTGCGTACTTGGCGTTGATGAAATGTCTCTTACACCTGGTGAACAACTTGATCCTTGTACAAATTCAACTTTAGGGCTTTCTACTATTCCCAACAGTCATGATAACTCCTATACATTTTCCTTATAATATAAACAGGAAGTTTCTTTAATTCTGTTCATCTTAATATCTTTGTTATCTGAAATTATAGTAATATTAAAATTACCGAAATATTAAAATGAACAGAATAAAATAAATACTCCGTATGATTTCATTTTCCTGATGAATATCCTAGTTTCATTTTCCTATGAATATCTTATTATAATCATGGCACATTTTTGTATTTTACTGGTATGTTTTTATAAATGTTCAACGTTGTAGCTCTTTTATTTACAAGTTTGGAATTTTTGTTTATCAATTTGTACATTAGTATTGCTCTTGAAATATTTATTTATTTGTTACAATGTATTGGTCTGTAATGTTTTGAAGGAGAAAAAGTCCAAGCAACACATGGATTAGTTTTCCTCTTTGGTGGTATATTGTACAGATAGAAACAGGTTGTACCTTACGAATTGATGCCTGATGGATATGATGATGCACATTTGAAACTTATTATCGACAAAATCATTAAAGCAGTTGAATATATATGTCTGCGCGTACACTGTGTTATATCTGATATAGGAGGCATTAATCAATCTATGTGGAGAACTTTTTCTAACATTAGTGTCCATAAATATTCAGTAATACAAAATTCTATACCGCATCCAACAGATTGTAATCGCAAGTTATTTTTCTTTGCGGATGGACCACATCTGCTGAAAAATCTTAGAGCCGCTATCATCAATAATAAAGTCATTATATTGCCAGAAATATTTGCCAAATCTTATCAACTATCATCACATATTGTCAAATTTTCACACTTACAAGAATTAGTAAATGAACAAGAGAATTTGGATTTAAAAATTGCTCCAAAATGAAATAAAGATATTATTACCTTAACTCGATTTAACAAAATGAAAGTAAATAAAGCAACAAATATGTTTAGTAATGATGTAAGCGGTGCGCTAAACTTGTTAAATGAAGAGCAAAATAATATTGATTATTCAACAACAGCAACATTCATTGAAATTGTTAGCAAATGGTTTAATCTCATTACCTCACGTCGTGCAGTACTTGCTCTAGGAAAAGAATCTGCAGATGGAAAGAGTGAAGAAACATATAAAACAACAGTCGAATTTTTACAATCTTGTATTACTTTATTTCGTGACATGCGAATCGGAAATAAAGGCGCATTCGAACCAGTATAAACTGGCATTATGATGAGTACAAAATCATATATAGATTTAACCGATTATTTGATTACAGAACGTGGTTTTTTATATGTGCTAGGAGCTCGTTTTTCTAATGATTTCATTGAAAATCTCTTTTCAAATATTCGAAAAAAGTTTCCTACACCTAATGCGTTGCAATTTAAATACAGTTTGAAACATATTACTGTTTCCCAATATTTACAAGCCTTACCAAATAGTAATTATGAAATAGATGATGGTGATTTATTAGCCGATTTTTTAAAACGTCCTGTTAAGAAAACGTTCAATAAACAATCTGAAAAAATGCCTGCTATACCTAATGTTGAAACGAAATTAATACAGTTCAATAATTTAGAACTGAATTCGTTATATTATGTATGTGGATATATTATATCAAGTATCTGTAAAAATCAAAAGATTTGCGATAGTTGCTTCTGCTGGATCTAAAATATATGATCCCAAAATAAAATATTCACGACTAGTTAGTCTAAAATGTTATCGCGTAAAAACATTATTTTTGTTAACGATACGACGTTTAATTATTTCTTAGAAATAAATTATGTAATTGTACATTATTTGCCTTATATTAAGCAAAGCAATTATAACATTGTTAATTTCCTTATTGAAAAAATGAAAGATATTGAATGTACTGCATTAAAAACATGTCACAATTTATCCCACAAAATTAAAATTCGTTTCATTAATTTTAAAATAAGAAAAAGTCACACTGGAAAATTAGAAAAACCTGTTTTTAATAGTAAAACCATGGCTATGCATTCCGTTATTAGATAAAATTTAATAATCATGTTATTACATATGTAATATTTTTTTAACTTTATGTAATATCAAAATTGAATAATAAAAAAATTGCAAAAATATATTTTAATTTTCCTTTTCCCTGTTACTGCTATTCAAATATCCCGCATACTTGCTATCACTAATTGATGGCGCCATTTCGTATCCAGCCAATCAGAAATTGGACCACATTGGCCAGACTCTTACTATAGGGACTCTAGCCAACACGGAGGGTGCGTTCCGTTTCACGCATATGCGCGCATTTTTTATAGTATACGTGACACAAACTATAGATAAATGTGCGCATAGTGTGAAACGGAACGCACCTGGGGTGTTTATCCCCTGGGGGATAAATCGAGTTCAAGTTAGTTCCACTAGGACTGAAAGGTATGATAGGCACGACCATCTACTATCTTCATGATTTGTGACAACTCAATGCTGTCCAATAAATCGAGTAGAGTAGAGTAAGCTAACTTAGGCCCAATTCCACAACTTGCTTTAAACTAACTTTAACTTGCTAACTAACTAAACTTGCTTTAAAGCTAAACCGATGGTTAAAAGCAATAGTATATGGGCATATACTATTACTTTTAACCATCGGTTTAGCTTTAAACTCCGTTTAAAGCAAGTTGTGGAACTGGGCCTTAGACGAGAGAGTGGCGTTGGAGCAGTATCTAGCTTGCCCAGAGCCATCTATTGTATTGAATTGAATTGATTAAGACGACTTCCAGATGCGCATGCGTAAGAATTTCAGTCTAGCATTCTGCTCAAAGTTGCAGCTTCATGTTTTCTTTAACTTGAAGTGGACAGAGAGATTGAAATCTCGGACCCAAAGTTGGGAGAAGTTTTCTTTCTAACCGCGTATATATTCAAGGTCACATAGCAGCCACGACCAGCTGGTAGACCACCAAGGTTACGTGTCTGGCAGCTCCGATTTATTCAGTGCTGTCGTCAGTCGTCGGTGATATTTAGTGCTTGTCACTCGTACATCGACCGATCGCCGATCGGACAGATTCGACTATGGCATTGTCGAGAATTAATGCTGCAGATATGATGAACGCTCTAACTCGTATCTCGCGCGCAGGTACGAATTTTTTTTTCAAATGTACGTCAATGTTTTGTTTGAATTTTTATCTATATTGGCATATACTGATATTGTTGAAATGTCGGGCGCAATATTTTTTAGAACTACTTTTTGGTAAACTACGATTATTTACATTTTAATCGTTGCTTTAAAGAAATAAATGGTGGCAAGCTGTGTGTGTATGTGTGTATGTCTGTGTGTGTGTGTGTGTATGTGTGATGACGTGTCTTTTTGTACCTTACTTTGTGTTTATTATCGACATCAGGAATTCCACATCTTATAAAGTTAATTTTACTTGTTTGAAGAAATTTTGACTACAATACATGTCTAGAGCCTACTGTGAATAATCCATAATTTGCAACCAAAGTCATGTAATGGCACATTTACATATTCATTTTGAGATCTTAAAAACTTGTTTTATACTGGCAGCATTAATTAAGATAACATATATCGTGTTTTGCAGCATATCTCTGTAGTAGATATTATTTCTTTTAATAACTATGATATCAATTTCATTATTATAATAATATTTTATCTTATCATGCTTGTCATTTGTTAAAGCATGCACTGACAGTGATATTCATTTTATATAATAATCTCATATTGCATTCATACAGTACAATATGCAGTAATACAAGACAAATATTTAACATAAATATATTCCGATAACCATTATTTTGGAATTAATATCCAAAGTTGTACGCTTTACTCGATATAGTTACACAAATTTTGTCTCTCTATTAATATTCTTGCATCGTAAAATTCACAAAGTATATAAAAGTATTCTATTAATATTCTTGCATCATAAAATGCACAAAGTTTGCAATATACAGTATTTAACAGTTTTTTAAATGTTTCAGCGGTATCCCTGGAGATCCAACACGCGACTCCAGCAGCTATACATCAGCAGCAGCAGCGGGTCGAGAAGCTGCACATGACGAGCGTGCGTCGTTACCCGGAGCCGCCGCGGCTTGACTTGCCGACTAACATGCGCGATATATTCGCCAACGAGACGGGCCGTTTCACGTCGGAACGCGCGCGCGATATCGCTCTATACAGCGAGAATGGCGGCTTAGCCATTACGAATGCGAATCGCACCGGTTACCCTAAGATCTGCGACAACGGTCAGGTGGACTCGTACGACTGCTTCGGTGCCGTCAGTCTGTGCGGCACGATGCAGACCAACGTGCCCAAGCCTTATCGCTCGCAGGGCACGCACGCGTGGGTGCTGAGATCCACGCACCTCAACATGCCCGGCGGACAGTGGACCCGCAGCAACAAGTATATCGCCGAGGACATGCAGAGATCCCACTACCGTAACCTGCGCCCGGAGTCGTGTAAGAGTGGCTTTTTTATGTGGTCTTGCGGAGAGGTGCTTTCATCTTTTTCCCTTCCTTGAAATATCGGAAGATTTGATTGAATCGGTGAAACATTTTTGTGCATACATATGTAATCGAATATCCGTTAAACTGATAGTGAACTTGACAGAGTGGAAATTTTCGGATATCAGGATCCTCTTGTAACTAATAGTCTGACGATTCCTCTTCCTCCTCTTTAGGGTCCAAAGATCAATTACATCCGAAGCGATAATGTTTAAAACCGAGCTCTTGCGACTAGCCGGCATCGGAGACTTACATGGTGGAATTGTGTGCCGTTCAGGTTCAGGTTCTGCAATTAACACCCTCATAACGAGCTCGCTTTTACGAATGACATATTGGCCAATGCAGTATACCATCAGAATGAACTACTCGACCGACGCGTCCGAAGCGCCCAAGGATGGCGTGAAGGATCAGGCGACGGCGGCGCCGTCGGCGACGCTCGCGATGTCGAAGCGGGACAGATTTCGGCTAATGCTAAGAGATTATGGAGGCACTATGATGGCTTTTCATATCACTATCTCACTAATGAGCCTCGGTGCTTGTTACATGGTGGTCGTTAGGTTAGTCTGTTGTGTATTGCATGTAGGATGATCCAGAAATCGCGCATTTTTGCTGGAATCTGTGAAAGAGAAGATGGGGATTCCCAGTGTTTCAAAGTGGGCGACTTCTGGAGCACTCCTTGTACACTCAGCTTCTCGCGCATCTTCTCTGTAAATATCCACATTGCCATTGTATCTTTACCATTACATAAGTGCTATTATTTGCTTGATTTTTATTAAGGTAAAAGCACCAATGCCAAGATACGTACTTGACTTTGGACATTCTTATTGTTTCGGTCTTTAAATACACGTATTTAAAAACCCAAATAATAAGAAGTCCAGATTTAAGTGCAGGTTCCACCATTGGTACTTCCATTTCATGCTGTCATTTAATTTTCAAGAGAATATTTTGAAGATGTGCGTTACCATTTGATTTTAGTGGAGTAGACGTGACACCGTTAGTAGAGAAACTCACAGGCGGCAACGAGGAGGTGGACTCAGTAATAAAGACGTCAACAGACTTCGTAATAGCGTACACCGTGCACAAATTGTTCGCACCTGTTCGTTTATCGGTGACCCTCGCTGCGACACCGTTGCTCGTGAAATACCTAAGAAGAATCGGCTTGCTCAAGAAATCGAAACGACCAGCGTCTTCGTAAGGTACCATGCCGGTTCTTTCCACGTAGGAAGTGTGCCTCTTCGTGTCAGACAGGCAACAACGAAATACTTCACAGAAGAGACGACGTCATTGCGAGCAGAAAATTTAAATCTCGGTGATCGGAAATATTTTTCGCTGTTAAGCGACATGATGCGATCATTTGCGATCATGCGTTAATCGATCCCCCTCGAAATTGAACTATTTTGCTTATTGTTCGAACGCTATTCATTTTTGAGACAGCAGACCCGCGTCTCCCCTCGTTCCGTGGGACTTGGTAAACGTGAATTCTCATATACGCGCGCGTTATGAGGTCTGGCGAGCTTGAGAAATTTATATGGATTTGTATAATGGAATTTTATATGGATATTTGGGTGTTATTTTTCTTTGGATATATTTTGTAAGAAGCTTAACGTCTGTAAATAAAAACATGTTAAATGACGAGTTCAGCAGAAAGAATAAACATGCGTCTTCACATATGCACCTTGTTTATTATATAAAGAATATAGCGATCATAATTTACATATCGTCACGCAATATCTCACGCACGACAAGATAGCTTAAAGTCGACGGCACCTGCGAGAAAAAGCATTCTACCTACCAGATCGAAATTTTCCGAAAAGAATGATTTGTGTCGTTCTCAGTTTCTCTCAAAGGGCTTTCTCCATCATCAATTTTACGTGTGCGCGCACAATATATCGCACAAGACGTCATAAAATCATGCTGACGTTACATCTTATAAGATCTTGTTGCTGTTTGGGAATTTGCGCCACTGTGGACAAAAGTGACGACAGTGAAGGAAACACGAGAGCCGATTGGAAACGCCAAGAAGATGCAATCGCATTACTTTTCGTCGGTGCCGCCGAGGTATTCGTATGTTACGTGCGTGTACTATATATTTATATATACTATATACTTTATATTATATACTATATATATATATATATATATATATATATATATAATAATTACGCGGTATTATTTTCGCAGCGCGGAATTTTCTCTTGCACAACGTACACAAAAGCTCGGCAGTTTCGATGGACGAATTTATGTTTTTGTTCGCATGATCGTTTCAATTGTGCGTGTAGGAGACGCGCGACGCCGCTGTGCCTTCGCGGCGACGCGCACGCGTCACATATATATATATATGTACAAAATTCTTTAAAAATATATTATAGTACATGGAGTAAAGAATTAAAAAACATATATAATTATATACAATGTTAACCTAAAGACAGTGTGTAATGCACTTCTTACGAGTTAAAAATCTTACAAATCTCGTTGAGATTCCGTCGAGGTGGCGAATGCTGCTACGGTAGTAATTTACGGTACTACTACGGTGGCAGGATCCGTCATTGCGCAATGAGAAAGGATCGGCCGTCCTTGGAAAGGGAGTTCTTGACGAGCGGGCGTGAAAAAGGAAATAGCCGTCAGAGTCTTTGCCTGAGTATTATTGCGTTTCCATACGTACGCCTCTTAAACGCATCTCGTAAAAATTAAGCGTAATGTATATTCAGTTTTTCATCGGTGAAAATCAGAGAGAGAGAGAGAGAGAGAGAGATTTCGCGGCGATACGAAACGTGGAACATGATGATCGTTACAGTCAGGCTCGTGGGCGCTCTTGGAGTTGCGTTGCTTTACAGAAATCTTCGATACCCAAACGTGACACGCTTTCGCGACGGTTTGAGGTAAAATTCCATTTGTGAGGAAACGTTTTCGAACAGTCGCTATATTATGGATGTATACGTGCATGCAGATATACATCTATGAACACGTTCAACACGTTTTCTGTTTTACACGATAACTACGTAAGTCGTAAATAGAATCTTATCGCAAGTCCCGTCGCGCGAATCGTAAGGATCGTCTAGAGTGTGGGCATTAGCTCGCTTAAAATTTCTGGACATCAGTGGTTCTGCAGATGCTTCGGACATGTATGTCGACGGCGTCGTTTGAGCATTTTCAACTTAAACGTAGGATACAGTCGACAATACTCGTAGCGATGTACGAGGATAAACGTTACTTAACGAACAAACGTCGTTTAATAATACTTTCAAAGTAATCGACAGTTCGACACACCGAGTTACCAAAATATTTCACATAGCTTTCCATATCACGCACGTGCGCGCGTCCGGCTTGAAAGATTAGAAAAACTCATTTGGCACAGCACTTGCTTCATCGATACGTGCTTTTGCTTAAGTACGGGAAAACTACAAGCGTAACGTAATGAAGCGTCGGCGCGATTTTGATCGAATTGATTGTTACGATAAAGAGCAGGAGTCTCCAAGGAGGTTTCTCAGAATCCAAATGTCGAGTTTCGTTTCTTCTATCGACATCAATAAATTCAAGTTTTTTGTTAGATAACTGCTCTCGCAACTCGTGATGAGAAACAATGAAGGATACAAAAAGAGACTAGACGTGTTCTTCGAATTGTTGCGTAAGAACGTAATCCTGGAGGGAGAGAGCTCCTGCTGCTGATGTTACGCGGTCATTTCGATTATGAAATACACACACTTTAGCATCGTAAGTAGACTCGCGCAATATCCCGGACATGTCTTTAGTATCAAGATGTTTCTCTCGTCTCTTTAGCTGCACGAACACTCATGCCCGTCTCTACCAACGTCGATTCTACGAACTTCAACCTGGCTTCAAGTTCTAGTCGGGCAAAGACTTAAATTCAAGTTGGCGTCTGATCGATATCGATAGCAATAGGAATTAATCGCAAAGATCTACGTTTACAGCGCAAAGTACAGCGCAACATCAAGAAATGGGACACTGCTTGCTGCGTCCAGGCGAAGTCTTGAAAATTCCAACATTTTCATCTTAATCCTCGTTAGCTTCTCTTTCTTCAGGATCAGAGCACGTGTATCTTTGCGACCGCATGCATAAACTATAGTAGAGGCCTTAAACGTAGATAGTGATGGACGTTCGAATCTTGAATCTTTCTCAACCGATTCAACCATAAGCAGATACGAAGTGTTTCGATTATTCGCAATCAGGAGTTCTCTCACATGTCTACATATCGACACAGCGTGAACTTGCAGTGAACACCACATGGTAGACGTACATGACGATTATGTGTCGGTGTATAAACCACTTACTTCGTTAAGTTGATAATTAGCAAGACTCGTATAAATGGTCGTTACTTGAATCTTTTTTTCAAACGAGACATTCAGATTTAAATTCAGAATTAGATTGGCGAGTTTTTCAGTTGAATCGCCATTGTAGGTATGGTGGTCATATATATGCGATTCAAGTGAATAAATTTCAGTCTCAATTAAAATCTGAGTCACACGAGACAAGCGTCACGTGACAATCATTTATACGGACTTGAGATGTTTGAGAATTACCGATTACGACATAACATTCGAAACGACTATCGTCGCATGTTCCAGGTATGATTCGACATATCCCAAGCGTCATTACTAAACGTAGGCTTCGTTTCGGCGTCCTTGTATGTGATGGAAGAACTGCTTCCAGCTAGTGAGTGTCTTCTTAGACCATACCCAGAAGCTGCTGGTGATACCAACAATCATCGCCATTAGGTATTTGATCATGAATACTTCAAACTCGGGCCTGTGTCCAAGATCACGCGTACGTTCGCCCACCGGACACGGCAAAGAGTAGAGGGACTGCGGGCCCGGTCGCGAGCACATCTCCATGTTCCACGTTAACATCCATTGATCGAAATACGCCTGTTCGTAGAAGAGGCAGGCGATGACTATCATGGCGGGCACGATGTAGAGCACGGAGAAGATGCCGATGCGTATCATCAGCTTCTCAAGTTTGTCCGTTTTCGTGCCGTCGTGTTTCATAACAGTACGGATACGAAAGAGCGACACGAAGCCTGCCATCAGGAACAAGGTGCCCAAGAAAAGATAGACGCATAACGGTGCCAATACGAAACCTCGTAGCGCTTCCACGTTCCAAAGACCAACGTAACATACGCCTGACAATATGTCACCTGTAAGTAACGTATCACCTGTAATATAATCACCTGTAAGTAATACCTGTAAGTAATATGTCACCTGAAGTAACAAATTGTGAAAGTGCGAAGATACATAAGCGTTATTAACACAAGTCGAACTTTATCAAATAAAAATGGAAAATATAATTGGACTCAAGGGAGCGACGCTTTTGACAGATTTGTAGATTTCATAATGTTATTTTTAATCCTCTGAAGTATGAAATAAGCTATAATGTTCTTAGTTTAATGATTTCATTGTAAGTGAAATTATATCTTTGGTATGCTCTGCCCTTTGTTATACAATCTACCATCTCACCTTCCACTTTTCCCATAGCTAAAATAGTGACAGTCTTGACAGCTGGTGCGGCCCAAGCAGCCAAGTGAAAGTACTGCGAGTTCGTTTCGATCGCCTCATGCCCCCATTTCAGGCCAGCCGCCAGAAACCACGTGAGGGTGAGGATGACCCACCAAATGCTCGAAGCCATACCGAAGAAATAGAGGACCATGAAGAGCACAGTGCACAGTTCGTACTTGGTACCCTGAGTTATTGTCGATGCCATTTGTATGCGCATTCCCATGGGTGGTGGAAATGGCTCTCTGCACGATATGGAGTTGCCAGCTGCCCAGCCAATCACATAGGCTAATGATACCATCAGGTAACAAACTGATAAAAAGATGATGGGCCTCTCAGGATACCTACATAATTCAAGAGTACAATTTTAGCAAACACCTCGAGCGCAGTGTCGAACTTGACTTTTCAAGGAAAGCAAAGTAAGGCAAATGAAGAGACAAGAAACCCAGCATTTACCTAAATCTATCCGTATCAATGAGAAATGTCAGGAAAGTAAAGAAGCACGAGACTGCACAGATGGAGGCCCAAGTGCCCACCCATATCCTAGAAAACCTCCTCTCCCTCTCGCTGAAAAACATCCCATCACAGGGTGCGCCGCAATCAGGCTCTACCTTGTTGCCAACTTTCAGCGCATAACCCAATTCATGAGGAACCTTGAACTGAACCGGACAGACGAAACCAAAGTCCCTGGCACCCAAGGCAAAACCACCACTACCGCTACCTCCGTATGACTTGGGCCCTTCGTTCCAAGACGGTTGGAACTCCGCCACTGGCATTCGAGGTGGCGGATAGACAGGACCAGCAGAATCTTGAGTCGAGGTCTCGTTGGTCCCGACGCAGAGCTCAGGGCCACCGTTCTCCGGCATCTTGGAGCAGTCAAGGGCTTCCGGCCAGGCGAAGCCGAAGGTGTTCATCAGGCTTTCGCAGCCGGAGCGCGCACTCTCGCACAGCGATCGACACGGCGGTATCGCCTTGTCTATGATGGTACACACGGGTGCGTACACGGTGCACAGAAAGAAACGCAGGTCAGGACTGCACTTCATCTTGACGAGCGGCGCGTACTGATGCACCTCCGCGCCGGCGTCCTCCTGCTTCTGGTGGTTCATGAGATTCGGCATAATGGTCTCATTGTATGGGATGTTCATGCAGAGATTGATAGTGATGGGCTCGCAGCGGCCGTGATGGGCGAGCGGATCGCTACCACCGCCGCCGCCGCCACTGGCGACGCTGTCAATGGCAGTGGAATACAGAGTGGCTGTGGCGAGCAGCACACTTGACAGGACGATACCGATCGTCGTTGCCCACAGCATCTTGCGTGCGTCCTAGCCTCTTCTCCGCGAGCACGACAGGCACGTCGTCGACGGCCGACCAACACTCACCTAGGATGGGAGGACGCGACGCGCACCAACACGTCACCAACGTCGGCCATTTGAACGGGACATCTCGATGTACACAGTAGGAACGCGAACGACGGCGGTAAACTGATGGAAACAGCGGCGATGAGGAGGATGAGACGACGATGGAAATGACGGACGCACTCGCCGAACGGCAGTGTAAACAGTGATGGCGGCTACACTATCATCATCTCGTCGCTGATTAGGCGCTGATTGGCCACGCGAATAGGTTATCCAGGCTGTATTCCGAAATTCAACGCCAGTACCGAAAATACATAGTTTGTGTCACGTATACCATAGATTTTCAGTGTTGGCAGTGAATATCGGAACGCAACTCCAGTGTTCGGGGCATTTATTCCCTTCGCAATCTCCTGCGCATGCGTCCAATACGTCACAGTTTTGATAGACTCAAGCTTACATGAATTATGAGATACGCTGTATTATATACACATATACAGAGTGTCTCATAACAATTGTTGCAGAGCTCGTGAAGACATAGAGCAAGTTAAGATAAATATAAAAGTCTCATACTGTTTTGCAATATTCGTAACAATTATTGAGTTATTAATTACAGAAATCTGACGAGTAAGCGCGCACCGAGATGAATGATTGGAGAAGCGTCGCAGCCGCGGGTCACAGTGGGTCATAGTCGATCTAGGGATGCAACGATAAATCGATAATATCGAAATATCGAATAATGCATTCGATCCGTTCGGAGGAGCACATGTTAATTAACGCGACAAGACTCCGATTATAAATATCTCGCGAGTCGACGAAATATTTGAACTTTCAAAAAAAGCATCAAAGAAAGTCACGTTGATGTTGTCATGGGTGAAATCTCACCTTGGTATATATTTTTTTATTTTCGAAATAAAAAAAGCCAAACGAATGTAATTAAATATTATTTATTATCATTGAATATTACATGAAAAGTAGAAGAGTTATTGTCCGCAGCGGATAATCTAACATTTAATAAGAACGAGACAAAATTCGCATGAGATGAAATTCCACTCTTTAACGCTACCATGACCTTTAATTATTCTCCGAAAACGGCGTTACAACAACTTTGACATTCTGTACAATTAGTTGCTAACATATTTTCTAATCGTATTCTAACCGTACATTCCTCTTTAATTAACATAAAGCTAACAAATATCCGATGCTTCGACAGAATAATTTTCTTTATTTTCAGTAATCAATAAGTAGTAAATCAATGTCGCGTACAGTTGAAAGGCCTCCTCGCATTCCCCTCGTTGTCCCGGAACCTTCGAGAAAAGAAAAGATGCCCAAGGGCAAGCCTCTCTTGCTTCAATCGCCGCCGAGGCCCGCAATGTTTACATCGCGCCGATTGTGTTGATCGGCTCGCGAGTGACGATACTTTTTGCCCTTTGTTTGACGTTTGACGAATTTTCTGGGAATAAGAAGTCGGAATTTCGCGCTCGGCATTCACGATCCGTCATCATCCGACTAGTAATCATAGACACTTTATGAATCTGCAATTACTCTCGTATATATAATAATAATAAATTATAATTATAATATTATGTAATTATAATAAAATGTACTTGTAAATTCTCTCCATATATATACGGTGTAATGTTTTATTTAAGTTTATATAGTATTATAATAAATGATAAACCTTCACTATAGAATATACATATCGAGTATGTATATATTCAACATATTTTGATATTTTTTTATTCAAAGATGTTATTCTTATTATAATTGACGAAATGTCAATGATATCTAATTTGACTTTAGAAAACTATATCGAACTAAAACTTGATTAACACATGACAGCATTTTTATTATAATAAAATGTTCTTGTAAAATCTCTTTATACATATACGGTATAATGTTTTATTTAAGTTTATATAGTATTATAATAAATAAATTATAAACCTTCATTATTGAATATATTCTAATAAAAATGCTGTCATATATGTATTAAACAAGTTTTAGTTCGATATAGTTTTTGGTGCAGCCGCGCCAAGATTTTTTGTATTAAATATTTTTTATTGCATTGTTATAATAATTAATTTGTTACAATAACAAGCAAAATAACCATATAACTCAGTGTTCTAATAAATAATGATAAATTTTATTTGTAAAAATTTATATTATGGACATTTTTTGTAGCTTGGTTTTCTTGAATATTTTGAATAACATAACCTTTAAAAAGATATTTTTTTTAAATATTGAACACTATTAACAAACGTTAAATTTTTATAACACGATATAATTTTTACTTTTAAAAGTTTATGTACATATATATCTTACAAAAAAATAATTTGATAATTTGATAAGTTTTACTTATAAAAACTTATGTTATGTACATAATATATATCTTAAAAAAGAAAATAATTTGAATTTGAGATTTCTAAAAATATTAAGTTAAGTATACAATAATCATATATATATATGTTAGGTTTCTCAGTTGGCGCTACTGTTCTAATATATCACTTTTTTTGTACAGTAGAAAAGTGTTGCAGAGTTTTATTATAGTTATAAATTTTACTTGTAAAAACTTATGTACACATATATACAATAAAAAAATAATTTGAGTTTGATACTTCTAAAAATAACACAATACGTGTTGCGCTTGTACTTGGCGCCTTTTTCTACCTTTTTGTTTAAAAAGATAAGTTTTATATAATATTAAATATACGTACGTTTCACGTATAACGTGATTGACTTGGAGTACTCCGTGCCCTCGGTGTTATTCTTAGCGACGCATTCATACTTTCCCTGATCTGTTACATCGGATTCGATAATCTGCAAGGCACCTGAAACATAAAATGCGATATTCTCGAACAGCGTCCCTCTCAGGATTTTCTTGTCCAAAGAAAGATCAATGATGCGATCGCAGATCTCGTGTATGTCATGTCAATAGAGACAGTTTGAACTCGGCGTAATATGATTCTTGGAACAGACGTAAATAAGTATTGTGAAGTTTGAAGCGAGTCTCTCACAGGCATGCTTTGAAAACACGAGTTGTTTTCATTTTCAGCTAACGGACGACGCAGGCATCAACACTGATCGGCAAGGTGGGGGGTAACCGTGCCTTCCCGATTGTTTGGTTTCGTACGCTTATAAATGACTCCGTGATTGCGGAAAGGACATTGCGCCTCGGGCCGACGAACGACGCGCATACCGCGACGCAGAGTAATACGAGTATCGGTTAATACGCGTTTCTTTGTCCCCGAATCTTACTTGCGCGAGTGTTAGAGCTAGAGTCAGTGTCGTCGCCAGTGCTACGATGGAGTATCTGGGAGTGCTGCGACGGAGGACCAGAACCAGAAGGAGGACGTCGGATCGAGAAGTCAGGATGGAGAGAGGACTTGGAGCGCGCCGAGAGACGTAGCCGAGGACAGCGATACATGTATGGTATTCGAGGTACCTCGAGTTATTATTATTACGCATTATTATTTTTCTGATTTTAACGGACCTTACTCGAAGTAAGGACATACCCGAGTCGAAATAAGATCAGCATTCATAGTTTATCATCTGAAAAATGATAAAATAGCTTGAGATTTGATTATTCATTAACCTAATTTCACGTAACATGAGTTGTACTTTTCTTTTCTCATAAAATATGAATGTCCATTCAAGCAAGGTTGCTGAGGCAAGCTAAGGTTTATCAATACAAATTTGTAATTGTTCTCAATGAAAAATTGCACATAATTTAAAAAAACTATGAATAATGATCTCAGAATCTGATATAAATTTTACAAGTGTTGATTTTTATTCGTCTAATAATGCTCAGATTGCTGTTTTCGTTTAGAATCTGCTAGAATGTCCGTTTCTCATTCTTCTTTATCTTTCTTATTATACCGAATCAGAATTAAAATCTCTATTAGTGAAACAGCATTATTAGACATAACCGTTGTCTTTTTGCAGCTTCAGCTCTTTTAAGAGCTACAATTCTCATCATTCTCATTAGAAAAAAGAAAAGAAAAAAAAGAGAAGAAGAAAGGAAAAAAAAACTTTAAGAATGATGAGAATAAAAAGTATTTTTCATCTCCCATTTCCTCTAATTCTTATATGATTATTTAATCCTTATATATTTATCTCACGCGCAGTTCTAACAAAGGCAGTTCTATTTACGTTTTTATCTTTGTTTGTTGTACGTTTTTATCTTTCTTGCGCTGTTAAGCGAATATATAATCAAAATCAATAAAAATTGCTCATTTAAATTAAGAATATAAGGATTAAGTACATATACATTATCGAAGTAAACGAGTATTAATAACTGCGGAATACGTCGCTGTCGAAGACTCATCATGGGCGAAACTACGAGAGTAGCCAGATGTAACGTTCAGGTAGGAGAAAGCTTGTTCACTATTGCGCATCTAAATATTCTGCATTGATTTTTCAAATTGGATGCAATTTGCAGGATCAATGTAGAATTAATATTTCGACTCGGGAAAGACTCGGGAATGAGAACGAATTGTCATTGCACTTGGACAATCTTCTGACACTGATTTCTGATATTGATCGACATTCGATTTCGGTACTGATTTACTCTTTTATTTCTCTATAAAGGAAAAAAAGATTGATACAAATCGTTCGTTTATCCACGTTAATTTGATGAATAAATTCGATATTGATCGGTATTCGATTTTCGGTATTGATTTCTCCTTTCATTTTTCTATAAGAATAGAAAAAATTCAGACGAATTGTTCATTTGTCCGCGTTAATTTGATATATAAATTAAATATTGATCGATTTTCAATTTTCGGTACTAATTTATTCTCTCATTTCTTTATAAGACAAGAAAAATTGATATGAATCATTCGTTTATTCGAGTTAATTTGTTGAGTAAATTAGAAGGATAAATTCCTGAAAAATGAGAACAAATTGTTATTGCACTTGCACAATTTTCTGACACTGATTTACGGTATTGATCGATATTCGATTTTCGGTACTGATTTACTCTTTCATTTCTCTAAGAAAAAAATAATTCATACGAATCGTCCATTTATCCGCGTTAATTTGACGAATAAATTAAATATTGATCGGTTTCAATTTTCGGTACTGACTAATTCTCTAATTTCTTTATAAGAGAATAAAAATTGATACGAATCTTTCTTTTATCCGACTTAATTTTTTGAGTAAATTAGTGGGGTAAGTACCTGTAAGATGAAAACAACTTGTCATTGCACTTGGACAATTTTCTTGACATTGATTTATGATATTGATCAGTCTTCGGTTTTCGGTACTAATTTATTTTCTCATTTTCTTATAAGACAAAAAAAATTCATACGAATCGTTCATTTATCCGCGTTAATTTGATGAACAAATTAGGTTTTGATCGATCTTTGGTTTTCGGTAATGATTTATTCTGTAATTTATTTATAAGAAAAGAAAAATTGATACGGATCATTCGTTTAT